CCGAGGATTTTTGTGTGTATGATGGTGCTGTCACATGTTCAGTATTGATTTCTACATGTCCATTGTAGCACATAGAAACAATTACTTTTTCCATGTTGATTTTGTATTCTGCAGTTCTTAAGTTTTGGGAAGTTTTCTGTTAGGGTCCTTGGGATTTTCTCTGTAGACTGTCATGTAATCTACAAATGGGGATACTTTTATTTCTTCCTTGAGAGCTGTATACCCTTTCTTTTCTTATTTTGTTTCACTGGCTGGAACTTTCAGTAAGCAGTGTGTTGAATAGCAATAGGGAGAGCCTATGGGACAATGCTCCAACCAGCTGAGCCACACTGGCCAGGGCTTTATTGCATTTTAAAAATGAATTCTTTTCTGTATTCTCTTTTGGGTTTATTTTATTTTTTTAATCCTCACCCGAGGACATTTTTCCATTTTTTGTTCAGATAGAGTGGGAGGGAGAGAGAGAGGACGAGAGAGAGAAACATCGATGTGAAAGGGACACATCGAGTGGCTGCCACCCGCACGACCAACCAGGGCCGGGGACAAACTGCAACCGAGGTACATGCCCTTAGCGGGAACCGAACCCGGGTCTCTCTGGACCGCAGGCCGATGCTCTAACCGCTGAGCCAAACCGGCCAGGGCTCTTTTGGGTTTAAATGGTTATTTTTCTAATTTTGTAAGGTGAATGCTTCGCTTGTCATTTTCAACTTAGTAATTGTCTAAGCATTTCGAGGTGTGAATTCCTAGGTATTGTTTTAGCTGCGGGATACACGTATCAATACAAGTACTTTCATCATTCTCTTCTCAGTATTTTCTGATTTACTTTATCTTTTTGACCAATGCATTGTTTAGAATTCTGTTTTTTAATTTTCAAACAGATGGGTTTTCCCAGGCACTGTTTTGGCACCAGTTTCTAACTTGGCTGCTCTCTGGTCGGAGAATGGTCTGGATGCCACCGGTTGTTCCGAGAAGAGTGCCACCCAGGAAGCAGAACGCTGGGGTTTGGGGCGGGAAGGGAGACTGCAGGACAGAGCATGGGGTGCTTGCCGTGGCCCTGGAGTAGTGGGCTCTGGCCTGGTCTCCTGCTAGGTGACCCCTGGGATCATTGAGTCCCATATGGGATGGGGTCCCCAAGTATGAGTCAAGACCCCCTGCTGCTGCAACGCTTCCAACTCCCAGGAAGCTGGAGAGTAAGCTTACGGAGGATGTTCCAGGAAATGCTCGGCTCTGGCGCCCTCGCCGGCCAGCGGAGCAGCCTCATGAACCGGCAGGAAGGGGACCTTGGCTTCGCTTCCGCCTGCAGTCTCGCGCGGTGCGTCCCACGGGTGGAGACTAATTCATCCTAAGACCACTGTGAAAGGCTTTCTAGCGGCAGCAGCAATGGACCTGGAGAGCATTATGCTAAGTGAAATAAGCCACTCAGAGAAAGATAAGTACCATATGATCTCACTTATATGTGGAATCTAATGAACAGAACAATTTAACAAACAAAATCGAAACAGAAGCATAGATACATAGAACAGACTGACAGCTGTCAGAGGGGAGGGGGTTGAGGGGCTGGGTGAAAAAAACGGTGAAGGGATTAAGCCCCTCCGCAAATACCACACACTCACTCACACACTCACTCACACACTCCCTCCCTCCCTCTGGGTGTGTGATGGTGGTTAGAGGGAAAGGAGTGTGTGTGGGGGGGAGGGCAAAGGGGGCGTAAACAGGGACAGGAAGAGACTTGGGTGATGGTACACAATGCAGTGTGCAGATGGTGTTTTATTGAGTTGTATACTTGAAACCTATATGGTTTTGTGAACCGATGTCACCCCAGTAAATTCAATGATAGATAGACAGACAGACGGACAGATAAATCACCTCTGCTTTCCTGTAAGGCTCTTGCAGAGGCTGAGCAAAGCCAGGTCACTGTCCCCACTGCACAGTCCTGTGAGGTTGATAAGACTTTTTTGAATGGACAGGATGCATGAATGTCCCACATGCCTGGAAAAGAGTGTCTGTTGCACAGCTATGGAGTATGGTGATCAGATTGAGTGTGTCTCCATCATATTAAGACGTGTTATTATTTTATGTTCCACTAAGAAGATAAGAGCTGCTGATATAACCAGACTCGATTTTTTTCTCACTTAGAATTTTAATTTATATTGATTGAAAGAGTTCTTTAAATGTATTTCAGCATTGATTTTTATGTAACCGTAACTGTTGCGCGTACGTAGAACAAACAGAATGAGTCGGTCCAGGTAACTTCACGGTCAGAGCCCCGCTCTTCGGAATTTCTCGTCTGCAGGGTTGTGTCTTTCTGCACAGTGTTGTCCTTTGGGCCACCAAAGGCACGAGGGATGCAGTGTTTCTTACAAAAATCTCCTTGATTGTTTCCGGGGTTTGTCAGATTCTGCAGGTTCTTATGCTGAGATTTTCCTCATCTTGCCGGAAGGCATCAGTGAAGGTTTGACGCAATAGCCGGGCTCATGTTGCTTCATCAGATGGCTGGTCCTTTTCCACAGAAGCTCAAGGGTGGCAGCTCCCTTGTGCCTCAGGCGGTAACAAGCATACTCTCAGCTGCCAAGGCGGTGGCCCTCGCGTGTCGGTTGATTTCAGAGATGTTTGAAAAGTGCATCTGAAAGTTGAAGCATATTATGTCCATTAATTCAAACTTGTTAATTATGTCAAATCTCCCCATCCCCCTTTTTGCCTTTGATGGAAAATTTTCATTTTTACATGTACATCTGCCAATTTTTGCTTTATATATTGTGAGCTATGTTGTTAGGTGCATATAAACAGACTTGTTAATTGTGTAAGTCAATGAATAATATGTTATTATCTAGTGACTATCTTAATCTGTTTTGCCTGATTTAAATATAACGGGACCAATTTCTTTTCGTAAGGTTTGTCTGGTATGTCACTCTCTGCTCTCCCCTTTCAATTGTTAGGTATTCTTTTGTGTGTGTGTGTGTGTTTTATTCTTCACCTGAGGATATTTTTCTACTTATTATCAGATAGAGTGGGAGGGCAGGAGGGAGAGAGACAGAGAGAAACAGAACCACATCGACAGGTTGCCTCCCGCACGACCCAGACCTGGGCCACAGGCTAACATTCTAACTGCTGAGCCAAACCGGTCAGGGCGGTTCTTGTAATTTTTGTTGTTTGTTTCTTTATGTCCAGGTTTTAAGCTCGATACTTTTCCATCTGTGTTCATTGTGAATGTACCCTTTGTCTTTGAGTGCATAACCAAGTGTTCCAAAGTGGTGGCTTGAAACAACACTGGGCCCTGGCTGGTTGCTCAGCGGTTAGAGCTCTGGCTTGTGGACCAGTGAGCGCGGGTTCGATTCTGGTCAAGGGCGTGTACCTCGATACCTCGATTGCAGTTCTTCTCCGGCCCTGGTCAGGGTCGTGTGGGAGGCAACCTGTCGATGTGGCTCTATCATATCGGTGTTTCTCTCACTCTCTCTCTCACCACCCCCCCCAACTCTATCTGAAGATAAATAGAAAAATATCCTCAGGTGAGGATTTAAAAAAAAAACACTGGGGCCTTGGCCGGTTTGGCTCAGCAGTTAGAGCGTCGGCCCACGGACCAAAGAGTTGTGGGTTCGATTCCGGTCAAAGGGCATGTATCTTGGTTTGGATTCAACCTCAGCCCTGGTTGGGGTCATGTGGGAGGCAACCAATTCATGTGTCTCTCGAACATGGATGTTTCTCTCTCCCCCCTCCCCCACTCTATCTGAAAATCAATGGAAAATATCCTCTGGTGAGGATTGAAAAACAAAAACACTAGGTTATTGTCTCTCAGTCCTGCATGTTGACTGGCAGTTCGGGGCCTGCGCTCACATGGACTCTGGCAGCCGGCTCCTCCCAGGTGCCCTCGCTCACCTGTCTCAGCTCACCTGTCTCACCTGGGGAGGGGGGTCCTCAGGCAGGAGCTGCAGCCGGCATGTCTGGGCTCTCTCTGCACGTGGTTTCTTTCCGCAGTAGTTTTCATCCTCAAGGTTGCTGGCCCCGCCCCTCCAGAGCACAGTGGTTCCAGTTCCGGGACATCAGAGGCTCTGGGCCCTGCGGTATCACTTGGGTCGTGTTCTCTGTCAGAGGAAGTCCCAAAGCCAGTCTGGATTCAGCGGTGGAAAAGGCTCTTTCGTTGTTATTGTTTTAATCCTCACCTGAGGATATTTTTCCATTTTTGTTCAGATAGAGAGGGAGGAAGAGAGAGAAACATCGATGTGAGAGGGACACATCGACTGGTTGCCTCCTGCATGATCCCAACCAGGGCCGGGGACAAACCGCAACAGAGGCACGTGCCCTTAACCGGAGTCAAACCCGGGACTCATTGGTTTGCAGACTGATGCTCTAACTGCTGAGCCAAACCGGCCAGGGCAAGACTCCCCCATTGTTAAGCAATGCATAACTCCAATCAAAGAGAGAGAGAATACAGATGTAGTAGGAATGGAAATACTTCAGAGGTTACTCGTTAGTAAGAGGCTGTTATGAACAACTCAGTATCAGTACAAATAATTCAGGGATGTGCGGGCCACCCTTCCGACCGCCCTGGAACCCCCTGCATGGTCCTGAGTGCGTTTCCACCACCCTGGCCTTCTCGGGAGGAGCCGCCCTCCGGACCGGGGGTACCCTCCCTGCCGGGTCATTTGTGCCCTGCTGCTGCGGTATCCGCGAGTTTCCGAGACGCTGGCAGAGCCTGTGCCCAGGCCCCGCCCCTGTGACAGGTGGTGGGCGCAGGGCGGTCCTCAGCCCACTCGCAGCCGCCCCGTTTTATTCGTGAGGCTCATCTGTGTTCACAGACTAAGCCCAGCCTTTTCTCCTAATTGTGTGGGGTTCTGTTCCGTAAATACACTGCTTCATTTCTTCCGGTGGACTTGGGCAGGTTTCTGTTGGAAGCAGTGTGCTGTGCAGGGCTTTGGGACAGGCACCGCGGGGAGGGAGCTGCAGGCGGTCCGAGCGTGCCCCCAGCCTTCTCGTCTCGTCGTTTCACTGGGTGATTTTTTTCTTTCAGTGCCTGAGGACCTCTCCTTAGAAGAGAGGGAAGAACTTTTAGACATTCGTAGAAGAAAAAAGGAACTTATTGATGACATCGAGGTAAAAAAAACCCCACAATACTTTTAGTTTTTGCCTTTAGGTAAAAGAGTAAATCAGGTAGCTTCACAGGAATGTGAAAACTGGGTCTCTAGTATGTGTGTCGGAGCCACACACAGAGACGGAGCAGGACAGCCACCCAGGTTGGCGAGGTAGAGACATGCTTGCCGGGCAGTGCAGGCTCCGGGAAGGGGCCAGGGCACCACCGGCCTGGGTCAGCAGTAGGTGACACGTGACACCGGAGCCACAGAAGTCACTTTTATTTTATTATCATTTCTTTTTTTTTTTTTTTTTATCCTCACCGGAGGATATTTTTCCATTTTTTGTACAGATAGAGTGGGAGGGAGAGAGAGGAAGGGAGAGAGAGAGAGAGAAACATCGATGTGAAGGGACACATCGAGTGGCTGCCGCCCGCATGACCAACCAGGGCCGGGGACAAAGTACATGCAACCGAAGTACGTGCCCTTAGCGGGAACCGAACCCGGGTCTCCGGACCGCAGACCAACGCTCTAACCGCTGAGCCAAACTGGCCAGGGCTATTATCATTTCTTTAAAGTTTGTTTTTATTTATTTTTAGGGAGAGAGTGATAGAAACATCAGTGAGAGAGAAACATTGATTGGCTGCCTCCTGCAACCTGGGCATGTGCCCTGACTGGGAATCGAACCAGCGACCTTTTGGTGCCTGGGTTGGCGCTCAGCCACTGAGCCACACCGGCCGGACACAAAAGTCACTTGAAACAGCAACGGCAGTCTACAGATGTATTGCTGTCTAGAATGTATGGTGAGACCCTGTTTCTTTTACAATACCCCTGCCACCCAGAATGTTGCCTGTTCCACTTCGGGCACCCAGGCATCTTTGAGTGGGTGCACCTGTGTGGGGTCCCAGCTGTGCGCCGTGCCTGCCAGCCGGTGCGAGCAGCCCAGAGAGAAAACACAGGCAGGTCCAGTGAACTTCCCACACTGCACTCGGAGCGCAGGGCTGAAGGTCCCACAGGAGAAGCGAGGGAGCCAGGCCACGTCTCGGAGTCGGAATGTCTGCAGTGGTTGCAGAAATGTTTCAGGAGACCGGCGCTCGCCGCTTCCCTGTGGGGCTGCCCCGGGAAGTCAGTCGGACATGTGGCTCGTCTCTGAGAAGCTTCCATCATTGTCAGGCCAAAGTAAACGCGGCCTCACAGGCTGCTGGCTGCAAGACCAGACCTTGTCCAGACAATAACTCCTTTCTGGGAGCTCGCATTTTAAGTCTGAAGTATTTTGGCACACAAAATAAAAGGGTTTCTAATAAAAAAAAAAAGTTTCCTTGTATTTGAATGCTGTAGCGTGGAACTTTTTCTTCTGAGGTTACCCTCCATTCTTGGAAACATCAGATACTCAGAATAGGTGCTTTGGTTGGAGAATCAGAAGGTGTTTTAAGGTTAGTGGTCTGTTTGGACATTCGTAGTAACGGGCCTGTGGAGTCTGACAGGTGGACGGGTCATGGTTTTTGCCCCTGCGTTGGGGCAGCTCTGACTAGGAGACTGTCCCTATCAGTAAAGACTGTGATGTCCAGTGAGACCCCAGGGCAGCAGCCCCTGGAAGGCTAGCAATTCTGACCTAGGAGGAGGAAGGGAGAGCCCCCCACCCCACCTCAGCATCCTTCCTTCTCTTTCAGAGGCTGAAGTATGAAATCGCGGAGGTGATGACGGAGATCGACAATCTGACGTCTGTGGAGGAGAGGTGAGCAGGACCCGGCGGGGGGCTGGGCGGGCTGCTTCTCTCCGGCTTCCTCCAGTTCCTGTGCTCTGGCAGCCGCAGGCAGCTCCGGCTGACCACAGAGGGGGCTTTCTGAGTGGCAAGGACTGGCTTCCTTAGGCCGGCCTCCGGCCTAGCTTTCCCCGACGGTCCGGGTGTAAGCAGGAGCCGGGAGGCCCTCCAGGGCTGCTGCCCTCGGGGAGGGCTCTGGGCGCGACCGGGGGGCCGTGGCGAGCGCTGTGGGGCTGTCCGCTGACTGTCCCATCATTTCACTGCGCAGCAAAACTTCGCAGAGGAACAAGCACATGGCTGTGGGAAGGAAGAAGTTCAACATGGACCCCAAGAAGGTATGAGAGCCCAACACGTTCGTTTCTGGCCTGTGACATGTTGACTGACTGGCTTGAATGGTCTCCTGCCCTGGCCGGTAGTCTCAGTGGTTAGAGCATTGGCCCCAGGACCAGAGTCTTGGGTTTGATTTCAGCCAAGGGCATGTACCTCGGTTTCGGTTCTGCCCCTGGCCCTGGTTGGGGTTGTACGGGCAGCAACCAATTGATGTCTCTGTCTCACATCGATGTCTCTCTTCCCTCTCTTCCTCCCTCCCACTCTATCTGAAAACCAAAGGGAAAATATCCTCAGGTGAGGATGAAAAACAAACATGAGTGGCCTTCTCCCTTTTGGGTAAAGGTGGTCAGAACACCTCTTAAAAATACAGAGAGTTGGTGTTAAATTTTTATCAAGGAAAGGGCTGCTAGTGAATGGGGTGAAGCAAAAGCATCCGTTGAACTGGTCCCTGGATCGAAAAGCCTTTTTTCCCACGTGAGGTTCTGAGTGAGGACGGGTCTCCTGGGAGCCAACCCCTCGGTGAAGCCAGGCTCAGCCCTCTGCTCCCGCCCCAGCTCCACAGCCAGGGGGCCACGTGGCTCGTGGGGGCAGTGGGGGGCAAGTGGGCAGAGTTTGTGGACTTCGTGGTCTGGGTGAGTTAAATGGTTCAAGTAAGAAGATGTTGTTTCTTTCGTTCACCTGAAGAAGAAGGCTGTGAAATACTGAGGATCTGTTCAGACTTTAGCCAGTATCTGGGTCTTTCCCCAAACTGGATTTTCTATAAAAATCCCCCAACATAATGACACCTGCCACAGGTTGCTGCTTGTTTGGAGGCCGAGCTAAAGGACTGAGCAGAACCCACGGAGCCTTTGGGAACGTGTGGATAGTTGTGCGATGCTTGCTGTGTGGGGAAGGGAGACGCTCCTCCTGGTGACGGCCAGTGGCTGAGCTGGTCATCCTGTTCTCACGGGTCTTTCGTTGGCACTCGCCTTTCACATCTTTCTTGTTTGTTGTTGTTGTTTGTTTTTGTTTTGACATTGAGCCTCTGTACTAATTAGTTAATTATTTGTTCATTCAATAAATGTTTGTCGATCGCATGGTCTGACTTGTAAACTTAAGCTTATAGGAGAAAGCGCAGTTGCAAATGTCATTTAACGAAGTGCCTGTTCACCCTGGCTGATTTGGCTCAGCGGTTAGGGCATTGGCCCTGAGACGGAGGGTCTCAGGTTCGATTCCCGGGCAAGGGCAAGTACCTGGGTTGCAGGCTTGATCCGCAGCCCCGGCTGGGGTCGTTCGGGAGGCAACCCAGGCGATGTCTCTCTCCTCCTTCCCTTCCACTCTGTCTAAAAACCAATGGGAAATATCCTTGGGTGAGGATTAACTAACTAACTAAATAAAGATATTAGTTTCACTCAACAGCTTGTTGGTATTTGGGCTACACTGTAGACGCAGACGGCACATTGAGGCTGTAGGCTCACTTTCACTGGGAAAAGTTACCAAAACGTTCTGGTTCTGTAGACAAGGTGCCAGCGCCTGTCCTGGTCGGCTGGGCCCAGCAGCGTGCCGGCAGGGCGGGTCCTCAGCTCCGGGCTGCACGTCTGGTCTAGTACCAGCGCCTGTCCTGGTCGGCTGGGCCCAGCAGCGTGCCGGCAGGGCGGGTCCTCAGCTCCAGGCTGCATGTCTGGTACCAGCGCCCGTCCTGGTCGGCTGGGCCCAGCAGCGTGCCGGCAGGGCGGGTCCTCAGCTCCGGGCCAGGTGCCAGCACGGTCGGCCTGTGTGGAGGGCCCTCTTCTCGGCTTGCAGACGGCCACCTTCTTGCTGTTTGCTCATATGGCAGAGAGGGAGAGACATAATTCTGTCCTGTGTCTCCATGTAGGGACACTAATCCCATCAGACCAGGGCCATGTCCTCTTGACCTCATCTAACCTAAGTCACCTCTCAAAGGTCCCACCTCCCAATGCCATCAGGCTGGGGATTAGGGCTTCCACACATGAGTTTTCAGGGGACACCGACATGAGTCCACAACAGTGGAGGATCTCACATCCTGCAGACACAGTTCAAAATTATACCCCCCCCATCCCATGCGCCTTGTAAACCACGTGACCTTGTGAAACACAAGGCTGTTGTCAGAGTGAATACACTGTTTCAGGCTAATAAGAAAGTATTTAAGTCACAGTGGTAACATTGTGAGCAAAGTGCTTCTGGTTTCCGTGCATAGATTCCTGGAAGCAGTGTAGACTTACACAAAAATAAGAGGAAAGATCAGTTAGATCAGAGACACTGAAACACTCTAGCGCAGTGGATCTCAACCTAATGTCATGGCCCTTTAACACAGCTCCTCAAGTTGTGGTGACCCCAACCATAACATTATTTTTGTTGCTACTTCATAACTGTAATTTGCTACTGTTATGTCTTAGGTGACCCCTGTGAAAGGGTCGTTCGACTCCCAAAGGGGTCGCGACCCACAGGTTGAGAACCGCTGCCCTAGAGCCTCTGCTTGTATCCCCAATTCCTAGAAATGCCTTTAAAAATATATAGAGAGAACGCTTCACGAATCTGTGTGTCATCCTTGCATAGGGGCCGTGCTAATTTTCTCTGTATCGTTCCAATTTTAATATATGTGCTGCTGAAGTGAGCACTAGAAATGCCTTTTAAAATACATAAATCGGCCCAGGCTGGTTTTGCTCAGCCGTTACAGCGTCGACCTGCGGTCCAGAGAGACCCAGGTTTGGTTCCCGCTAAGGGCACGTATCTCGGTTGCAGTTTGTACCCGGCCCTGGTTGGGTCGGTTGAGTCGTGTGGGTGGCATCCACTTGATGTGTCCCTTTCACGTCGATTTTTTTTTTTTATCCTCACCCGAGGATATTTTTCCATTTTTTGTACAGATAGAGTGGGAGGGAGAGAGAGGAAGGGAGAGAGAGAGAGAAACATCGACGTGAAGGGACACATCGAGTGGCTGCCACCCGCACGACCAACCAGGGCCGGGGACAAACTGCAACCGAAGTACGTGCCCTTAGCGGGAACCGAACCCGGGTCTCTCCAGACCGCAGGCCAACGCTCTAACCGCTGAGCCAAACTGGCCAGGGCTCACGTCGATGTTTCTCTCTCTCTCTTCCTCTCTCTCCCTTCCGCTCTGTCTGAACAAAAAATGGAAGAATGTCCTCGGGTGAGGATAAAAAAAAAAAACATAAGTCTTGGCCAGCTGGTGTGGCTCAGTGGTTGAGGGTCAACTCATGCACCAAGAGGTTGCCAATTTGATTCCCAGTCAGGGCACATGCCCAAGTTCTGGGCCAAATCCCCAGCGAGGGTCATGTAGGAGGTGGCCAGTTGATGTTCTCGCTCATCGATATTTCTCTCTGTCTCTGCCCCTCATTCTTCCTCTCTCTCTAAAGTCAATAAAGAAAAAATAAAAAATACATAAATCTTAAGCAGGAGTTCTTTGTCAGGGTCAGCACGCTCAGGCAGCAGTGTGGGCACAGGGCCGTCTAGCCTCTCCCCGGCCTGCGGAGCTTACACAGAGCTGTGTGTGCCCCCGGTGGGAGAGGCCGAGGGGCACTTAGCCCATGAAAACAGGCTGTGCCCTCTGGGCTGCATCACCAGGAGGAGGAGGAGGAACACCCACCACAGAGACCAGCCACTGAGCACCACCTGGCGTGTCACCTGCTCCTCTGCCAGGTGCCTGCAGGCAGCTACAGCTACACCAGGAACCGGCAGCAGTCAGGCTCCCGGGGACCTGAAATACAAAGACGACCACCAAACAGGCATCAGTAGATCAGTCGAGGAGGAAACTGGCACCGTGAAGAGAATGCGACTCAGCAACAGGACCAAGCCAGCGGAAGCAGGCCTGACGGAAGCAATAGAAGGAAACATCAAAAGCAGGATGTTTTTATATTTTATAAATATCATCAAAGACTCGATAGGATGTTCCTTATCCATGATACAAAAGTGGAGTTGTAAAAAGGATGCTGGGGAACGAAACAGAAGCCGTCCCTGTCTCCCCCACTGCTGCGCCCTGCCTCTGGCTTCGGCTCCATTTCCTCCTCGGTCCCTGGCTGGCGCCACCCCGCGGTGGGAGCTGGGGCTCCACGTGGGGCCCCCTCTGCCCTCCAGGTGTGACCTCAAGCACAGAAGGTGACCTTGTTCGAGCCTGTTTTCTTTTCTCAGATTCTTGGAGGAGGTTCTCTCCGCAAGCTCCCTGGTGTTTTGGGAGCCAGAATTTTAGAGCAGGTCACAAGAGTCCAGAGGAGCTCGTGAAAGCCTCATCCCCTCGCCCGTCAGTCCTGGGGCTGCAGGCCAGTGGCGTGGCCCAGGCCTTGTGGCTGCAGAACTCGCTGAAGACTGCAGACAGCTAGCGTGCTGGCCGGATGCCAGACCCCTCAGAGCCCGCCCGCCCGCCCGGGCCAGCACTCGGAGGGGGACGGCGCAGGGCACTTTCTGCATTCCTCCTGGCGGTGAATCCCACTCACCACAGAGCCGTGTTGCCTTTGTGAGACTTCACCTAGAAGGAACTAAAATTAAAATACACTGGGCCCTTCACTCCACAGTGTGTGTGTGTGTGTGTGTGTGTCCCGCCCCTTTGCTGTGTGCTCTCCCTCGTGTGGATGGGTGCACCGGGATATGTTTGTTCTCTTACTCACTGCCTGTCGACTTGTGTCCAGTTTTCGGAAATTCTAAAGACGGGTGCTGTGGACATTCGTGTGTTTAAAAAAACACCAGAAAGGCCCTTTGGGTGGGTTGCAGGGGGTGACGGCGCTCTGGCCTCGGCACTGTTTCAGCCGGAAGGTGGTCGTGACTCGCGGAGGTGCCTCCAGGCAGGGAGCCCAGCAGCCCTGCCCCCTGGCAGGCGGGCCAGCGTGTCCTTTGAGGCCAGCTCGGCAGCTGGCAGGGGTGCATGTCTGCTGTTATTAGGGCTTCAGGAGACAGCCCAGCCAGGACCGTCCCACACAGCCTTTGAGTTCGTGTTTGGTGGCACTCCACGTCTTCACGGGGGCCTGGATTTTGACCGGTTAGCTTAGGGGCACAGCAGCCCTCGAACACGGCCAGCCACGGGCAACAGTAAGGCCCGTGGAGGTGGCTCACACAGGGGCACTTCTCCAGCAGAGGTGGCTGCATGGTGCCCAGTGGCTCCTGGGTGACAGGACCCAGGTCCTGTGTTTGTCCGACCTTTCCCTCGTACGAGGGCCTTTAGGGCTCTGGTCGTCACATCCGAGTTCTCGGCGGGACGGGGCTGTGTCTGCTCACTGGGCCCCTCTATCGGGAAGCCAGACGTTTTCTCTGTCCTCCCTGCAGACTTCCGTGTCTTGTCTGTCTGACCAGAACTGTGCCACGGTCGTTTCTACTTCCATGGGAAGCATGGAAAGTGATTATGGAGGGAAGGATGGTGAGGGAAAGGGATTGGGAATGGGTATAGGGCTGGGCCCCGACGACATGTGTCCTCAGACACAAAATGCAGCACCGTTCTGAGCTGGGGAGCTGGGTTATCACTGTTACCTTGTGACCTCCGATGACCATGGGTGGTGGTTTGTCCAGCAGCTTCCACTCGGCCTGCCCGTGGCGGGAAGGCGCACGTGCCTGCTTCTGCCGGCCTGTGCCGAGGCTCAGGTGTGCTGCCATGTTTTATTTTTAATTCTCACCTGAGGATGTGTTATTTCCCCTCTTTTGGTGGGGGGGGGAGGAAGGGGGAGAGAGACAGACAGACAGACAGACATCAATTGGTCGTCTCCCATATGCACCCTGACCTGGGATCGAACTTGCAACCCAGGTATGTGCCCTGACTGGGAATCGAACCTGCCACCATTTGAGTGTATGGACGACGCTCCGCCCAACTGAGCCGCCTGGTCAGGGCTGTTATCTTTGCTGTGTCCAAACCGGTGAGATGGCTGCGGTGTCTGGAGGCGGGCGGGCGGGGCGGCTGTCCTGAGCGGAACCCGCTTCCTCTCCGCAGGGGATCCAGTTTCTGGTGGAGAACGACCTGCTGCAGAGCGCCCCCGAGGACGTCGCCCAGTTCCTGTACAAGGGCGAGGGCCTGAACAAGACCGTCATCGGGGACTACCTGGGGGAGAGGTGAGAGCAGGGCGTGTCACCCGCAAGGGGTCCCCTCCCGAGCTGCAGACCCCGTGTGTGGGGAGCTGTGGATGCCGGCCCCCTGGGTGGTCCCGAAGAGGGGGGGAGAGTGGGCTCCGTGCTCCCTCCCGGGAAGGTGCCTTTCAGCCCCACCTTTGGGATCAGGTGGTCTCCCCGCCCCCACTCTTGCAGCTGTGACGCTGTTGGTCCCCTTGGCACCCAGCCTAGAACAGGGGAGTCCTTGACTTCTCGTCCACGAAGTGAAACCACAAAAGGGGCTTTAGGGAACGTGTGTCTCAAGTGATTGAAATGATCCGCAGTGGGCTGCACACAGGCTTCCTCCGTCTCTTTCCAGGGATGAATTTAACATTAAAGTTCTTCAGGCTTTTGTCGAACTCCACGAGTTTGCTGATCTCAACCTCGTCCAAGCCTTAAGGTGAGCGTGTCATCCGATTCGGTCATAGAGGAGGCAGCGGGGCCCGGGGCCCAGGCAGAAGTGGCTAGGAGCCCATGCAGGTACCTCTGAAAGGGCCCCCAGGTCACGGCCAGCACCTGTGTCCCTCGTCCAAATGGCTCCTCCCCTGCTGTGAGCGCTCAGAGCTCAAAGGGCGACGGGGCCACACTCAGGGATGGAGACTGCTCGCCTGGGGGGGCTGCTGGTTGTGCATTCTGTTCACGGTTCCTTGGCAGTCTCTTTTTAAATGTTTTTACTGATTTTAGAGAGAGGAAGGGAGAGAGAGCTAGAAACACTGATGGAAGAGAAACATCAACATCAATTGGCCATGTCCTGCGTGCCCCCTGCTGGGGATCAAGCCTATAGCCAGGGCATGTGCCCTGCCCGGGAATCAAACCAGCACCCTCCTGGTGCATGGGACGACGCTCAGCCACTGAGCCACACCGGCCAGGCTCGTCTTTTTTTTTCTCTCAGTCCTCACCTGAGGATGTTCTTCCTTCTATCTTCGGAAAGAGGGGGAGGAGGGGGGAAGCAGTGACTTGAGAGAGAAATCAGTTGGCCGCCTCCCGCAGGACTCCAACCAGGGCCGGAGACCGAACCGCACCAAGGTACGTGCCCTTGACCAGAGAATCAAACCCGCGACTCTGGTCCTCGGGCTGACACTAACCACTGAGCACCGGCCAGGGCCCATTTCTCATTTTACATGGTTTGGCAGCTGTGCTTGGGCTTCCGTCCTCCTGGCCTCCCTTGGCTTTGGGCTGAGTTATGGCGCCCTGTGCTCAGCGGCTCACCCAGGATGGATGCTGCAGCCAGATTCTGGAGTTGAGATTCGGTTTCTGAAAACACGGCCTCTGAGGGGTGCAGACTGCGCGCGTCTGGGGCGCAGTCATGACAGCCAGGGTTCCATTTCTTTTGGTGGCTCAGCCTCTGGCCACATCCACGAGGTCTTGACTTGCCCCTGCAGAGGTCAGTGGGAGGACATTGCCAGGTGGGTCCTCGGGCTCCTGCCCTACAGTTGTCTGTCATCCCTCTGCGGCCCCCACCCCGACCTGTCCGCGGCTCGGCGGGAGGAGCCCTGTGGGGTCGGGGTTCTCTGGACAGCTGAGGCCCAGTGTGGGGGTCCTGACCTCACCTGCACTAACAGCACACCTGCAGCCCGGACCTCTTGTGCTTCCCGGGCCCAGCAAGCGCGCCAGGTCCCTGGAAACTGACAGCCGCTCCCTGTCGTGTCTCCCCAGGCAGTTCCTGTGGAGCTTCAGGCTCCCAGGGGAGGCCCAGAAAATCGACCGCATGATGGAGGCGTTTGCATCTCGCTACTGCCTGTGCAACCCTGGCGTCTTCCAGTCCACAGGTCGGTGACAGCGCGGCCCCAGCCGCCTGGAGCTCTCTGCCCTGGGCGGGGGCAGCCCTGCCTGTGGCCGCCGCCCGGCCCACGCTCCTGCGCTCGCGTCGCCGCTGGGCTCCCCCGGCCGCTGAGCTCCCCACCCCTGCCTCTTTCAGACACGTGCTACGTGCTGTCCTTCGCCATCATCATGCTCAACACCAGCCTGCACAACCACAACGTGCGGGACAAGCCCACAGCCGAGCGCTTTGTCACCATGAACCGCGGCATCAACGAGGGCGGGGACCTGCCCGAGGAGCTGCTGAGGGTGAGCTGCTTCGGGGCCCTTCCTGCTCCCGCCTCAGGCCCTGCGCCTGGCCTCATGCTTGGGAGGGTCTGGTCTGCTGGGAGTGTGGGAAGCACTGGTCCGCGGATTTTGTTGTTGTTGTTAATCCTCATCCAAGGATATCTTTCCCACTGATTTTTTATAGAGTGGAAGGAAGGAAGGGAAGGGGAAAGAGAGAGAGAGAGAAACATTGATGTAAGAGAGACACATTGATTGGTTGCCTCCTGCGCGACCCCGACCAGGGCCGGGGATCCAACCTGTCACCCAGGTACATGCCCTTGACTGGAGTCAGACCCGAGACCCTTCAGTCCATGGGCCGAAGCTCTAACCACTGAGCCAAACTGGCCAGGGCTGGTTCGTCGATCTGCAGCGTCTGCAGCGAGTCCCTCGCTGGCCTGGCCTGTGGAGCTGGCCGCCGGGCCTGCCCTCGGGCCGGCTGGGAAGGCTGCGCCCTCCACTCACCGGGCACTGTGCTGTCCTCGCAGAACTTGTACGAAAGCATCAAGAACGAGCCGTTCAAGATCCCGGAGGATGATGGCAACGACCTGACACACACGTTCTTCAACCCTGACCGCGAGGGCTGGCTCCTGAAGCTGGGTGAGTGGCGCCGGCGGGTGGGACGCGCTCCGGCCCCTCAGCCCGGCCGCTGCTCCCGCAGAGCGCCTCCCGGGCTCCCCTAGCGAGCCCCGAGCGAAGGCGGACGCGTTCCAGAGAAGGCCGCCGGGCAGAGGCCACGCTCGGCAGCCGGCTGCGCGCCCTTACCGGACGGCCGCTGCCTGGAATCACACCCCGTGCGGAGGAGGCCACCTGTCGTGTCCAGGCAGAGAGGGACGGCTGGGCCGCTGGACGTCCCAGAACACTGCTCACTTAGTGCCCAGATCAAGCCCGGCTTTCTGAGCGGGAAGCAGGTGCCTCCCCACGGTTCGTGGTGGCTGGTTTCAGCGAGTGGTTTAAATGTGCCTTCTTTGTTTCCCTCTGCCTGTGGCTCCCACCTTTCTGTTCTGTGATGGGCTGTCCCTGCTTGTTCTGCATTAGGAGGTACGTACCCAGAGCCCCGCCCTGCTCGGCTGCTCGTCCCTCTCGCCCCCGCCCGTGGTGTGTGTGAGGCTGGGTCTGTGGCTGCCATTCGTCTGACCCATGTGGCTGTGGACTTGCTGGTGAATGTGACAGCCACACCCGGGCTGGGCAGCGGTGGCCGGAGAGCCAGCCTCTCTGTGCCAGGCCCGGAGCGCATGGGAATGCCGGGTGTGACGAGCGCCCTCCCCCAGGGCCTGAGAACAGCAGAGGGCTCGGGCAGCGCCACCCCGCCACCCCGCCGCCCTCATACTGACCCCCAGCAGCGCATGTTTGCACCACGTGGACAGTCCAGAACGTGAGCGGCTTCCCATCCGTGGGCAAAGAAGTAGAATGGCGTTGGCTTCTTGGGCAGTCTTAGGGACTGTGGGGTTTTCTGACGGGGCAGGTTGGGGTTTCTCCCTCACTGCGACGTTAGAGCCTGTGACACCTGTGTTTATTGATTTGGGGGAGTAGGGGGGAAGAGAGAGAGAGAGAAACATCAACGTGAGAGAAACACTGATCAGTTGCTTCTTGTATGTGTCCAATCAGGGATTGAACCTGCATCTTAGGTATGTGCCCTGACCGGGAATCGAACCCACAGCCTTTTGCTAACTCCAACCAACTGAGCCACCTGGCCAGGGCCTGGTTCTGTGTTTAATCTAGGGAGGAGGAGATACAGGTGAGGGGACAGTGCAGCAGGCGTGAGGGACTCGCTGTGGATCTACTGTTCCATTCGGGGTCTCACTCTGACTTTTCCCAGGCTTTGTCGAGGTTTGGGGAGTGATGCACCTTTGCCTAAAGACCCGGGACCGTAGCCTTGCATCTGAGTGACCTCCCAGGGGCACCGGACTTTGAGGTCACATCAGACCTGTGGTCATGGGTGGGGGTGGGGCGGGAGCAGGGATGCGCCCAAACACCAGCAAGCGCCCCCGAGGGATGGTGACATCACATGCCTGCTTGGCAGACAGTGTGACCCAGTGCCAGGGGTGGGGCTGCCTGTGAAGACAAGTAAATGAGTAAAATAAAGGCACAGCAGGGCTTGTTTTCCAGCCTGTTTTCTAGTTGAGCAGATAAGCGGCCAGGACATCAGTGCACAGAAGGGTGGTAGGAGCTGCCAGGCTCTGAGCGGGGGCCCGAGGGGCCTGGTGCAGTGGCCTCAGCATGGGACAGCCAGGGGGCCTGGGGCCTGCTCCTTCGGCGACCCCACCACCACGAGCATGCATCTGTGTGGAGGGGAGTTGCGGCCCTGGTGCTGCTGTTAGAAGCCACAAAGCTGGTGATGGAGGCACTGTTCTAACCTGGAGCCCACCGGCCAGGTGACAGCTGGGAGCTGCCATCCTAGAGGGCCCAGCAGCTGCGTCCACTCCCGGCAGAGCTGTCACCGTCCAGAGAGTGGGCCCCGCAGCTGGCAGGCTGGTGTCCCCAGAGCCCCTCCTGCCCACTGGCCTCCTCCCGACAGTTTTGACGCTGGCCTGGCCTGTCAGCTGGTGGGTATCGGCCTCCGAGGGCCGAGGGGCAGCCAGCCAGCCGGAAGCCAGTGCTGAAGAGGAGTCAGGTAGGCCTCGTGTGGGCCGTGCACTCGGCTGGGCCTCACTGTTGCTTGTCCTGCGTGTCTCGGAGCAGGCAGCTCGAGGCCCGGACACGCCCGATGCAGCAGCGTCGGACTGCGCTTCCTACCAAGTAGTCACTGAGCTTTGAGAAGGGACCGGGCATGTGGGTCCGAGTTGACCTGTCCTGCAGGAGGAGGAGCATGTACTGTAAGGGCGTGTGTGCCCGTGTGGGCACGGGCGTGTGTACCTGGGAATGGACGTGTGTGCCCGTGGGCACTGGCATGTGTACCCGGGCACGGGCGTGTGTGCCTGTGGGCACGGGCGTGCATGCGTACCCGGGCATGGGCGTGTGTACCCGGGCACGGGCGTGCGTACCCGGGCATGGGCGTGTGTATCCGGGCATGGGCGTGTGTGCCCGGGGATGGGCGTGTGTGCCCGTGGGCACGGGCGTGTGTACCTGGGAACGGGCGTGTGTGCCTGTGGGCACGGGCGTGTGTGCCCGTCGGCACGAGTGTGTGTGCCTGTGGGCACGAGCGTGCGTACCTGGGAACGGGCGTGTGTGCCTGTGGGCACGGGCGTGTGTGCCCGTCGGCACGAGCGTGCGTACCCGGGCACGGGCGTGCACCTGCCTGGACCGCCGTGGAAGGAGCGGGCGATTGGCTGGGAAGGCGGAGCAGCCGGCCCCGTCCGCAGGCATGAGTGGGGTGTGTGTCGGTGTGTCCGTGTGTCTGTGTGTCCGTGTCCTGCAGCTCAACCAGAAACATGCATAAGCGGAGCCCCTGGGTCTGCTCACCCCCGGCCCCACGGTACCTGCCTGTGTAGCTGAAAGGCTGCCTGGGCTGAGCTTAGGGACCAACCCCGACGACACTCCTCCGTCCAGATGGCCATAGCTGCCAGCTCCCTTGGTCCCGAGAACTGGGCCAGGGATGGGGGCCCCCAGATGTGCCCTGAACTTGGAAACGGCGGTCAGGAGCCCAGGCGCAAGGGCCCGAGAGGCCTTCCTGGAAGCTGCTTCCCTGGCAGCTGGCGACGCAGGGCCTGGGCCTGGGCCTGTGGGCGAGCAGAACACGGGACGGCCACCCAGCGTTCCGGTGTCGGGAGCGTGGAGAAGGGCAGGCCCAGGCAGACGGGCAGCTGCGGGGCAGACAGCGCGGGCTCCGGGGGTAATTATCTAAGAACTTGCCCGTGGGGCTCAGCAGAAGGAAGGTTCTAGCAGGAGTGTTGAGGCTCCAGGGAGGGAGCCAGGAAGGAGGCCTTGGAGGCCGCCTGAGGGGTTTGAAGGCCAGTGGTGGGGTGGGCACAGGGGCGGGAGAGGGGCAGCCTGGCCCAGGGCCCCCAGGGCTGCAGGAAGGCCTTCAGCAGTGTGGGCTCAGGGACGTGCCTGGAGAAATTAGTGCTGCCCTGTCCAGGAGGCACTGGGTCAGGAGTGTGCGACGTTCTCCTGGGGCCTCCTCCTGGGGCCTCCGTGTGCAGTAGGACTGTGGGGGCGGGGCCTGGGCTGAGACCAGGGCCGCTGGTGTGCAGGGCTGCAGGTGCCCGGGGTCTGCTCCTCCCGTGCTTGGGCAGGGATGAGGAAGAGGCCACGTCCTGGGAGCAGAGGGCCCTGGTGGAGGCCGAGAGGCCGTCCTGGGAGCAGAGGGCTCTGGTGGAGGCCGAGAGGCCGCGTCCCGTCCCGGGAGCAGAGGGCCCTGGTGGAGGCCGAGAGGCCGCGTCCCGTCCCGGGAGCAGAGGGCCCTGGTGGAGGCCGAGAGGCCGCGTCCTGTCCCGGGAGCAGAGGGCCCTGGCCCTGGTGGAGGCCGAGAGGCCTGAGGAGGCTGCGCGGGGGAGGGGCAGGAGCCGTCAGAGGCTGCGGGAAGACCTGTGGCTCCGGGCCAAGGAGCGGCTGGAGTGAAGACCCCCCTGGGGCACACGTGTGAGCTGGGGTGGGCCTGAGGGCTGAGGTCCTTGGAAGGTGCAGCAGGAATCGGGGAGGCACGTAGTCAGACCCTTTCGACAAGGACAGGGAGGAGGGTGAAGCGGGGGGTCTGCCAGGGAAAAGGGGGTACCCAGCTAGGTCTTCCTTCGTAGTACGGCCTAGGCTCCCTCCCTAGTGCCTGTATCCTGGCTTCTCAGAAGGACAGATGTCTGATCAGTGAGGCAGCTATGAGGGTCCCAGAGGGTTCTCCAGGGGTCTGTCCACAGGCACCAAATCCCAGCAGTTGGGGCTCACTCCCTCCCAAAGCTGTCTCCCCCCACTGGACCCCTGCAAACATCAGAGGCCAGGGAGCCCTCGTGCCTCAGCCCTGGGATGACCTGGGAGCTGGCAAGTGTCCCCCCACCCCCCATGACTCGCACGGTCTCCGTGCAGGGATGGCATCTGTGACTCAGCCCCGATGGCACTCACCCGCTTACATGTATGTTGTGGGAAGGTGGGCTAGCTCACTCCCAGACACCACCATCGTCACCTTGGGGTGACGGAACAGGAAAAGCCACTTCCTACCTGTGCCCATGTATCACTTCCGTCAGTTCCCGTGCGTGTATTTTTCTCTCGTTTGTGTGACTTGGTCAGCAGCAGGGGCTAGAATCTGCAGCCAGTTTACCTCTGCTGAATAGTTAAGGGTAAAAGAGACTGTTTTCTGCAGTGACAGGAGTAGACCAGATGAGCTGTGTGTGCGTGTGCGTGTGCACTTACATGTGTGCCCCAGATCTTGTTAAGAGATTAATTCAATCTAATAATTCCCTGGGCCAAGGAGTAATTGGTTTTGATGGATCCCAGGGTTGCCCAGAGTACTCAGTCATGTGATCAGAGCCCTGGTGGAACAGGACCGAGTCCTGGTGCATTAACTTCATCCGGTCGCCATTCCATGCGGGGAAATTAAGCCCATTCATCACGACTCACTTTTCCAAGAGGCCTACTTAGAAAGTGGTTGAGTTGTCTGGGTACCCAGGTGCCCGTGAGAGGCCGAGGTGCAGGCCTGGGGTGGGGGTGCATGAAGGGCCCTAGCAGAGCACCGTGCCATGTGCCCACTTGTCAGTAGGTGGGCAAGAGAGGCCCAAATGGTCCAGGCCACACGGCTTGTCCGGGACTTAGCTAAATGTGGCAAACGGTCGAGCGTTTTCACAAGGAAGGAAACTTAAAACCAAGCTTGGCTCTTGGTAGCCTTTCTGAAAATACAGTAATTGTGTAGGTCCGGCCCCCCGTTCGGGGCCCAGGCTCCAGCCTGCACTGGCTCTGACTCATGAGGTCCTTGGCTTTCAGGGGGGCGCGTGAAGACCTGGAAGCGGCGGTGGTTCATCCTGACCGACAACTGCCTCTATTACTTCGAGTACACCACGGTAAGGGAGGTGGGCCGGCCCCCGGGCACAGGCCCGCGGGTGGCGGCTGGAGTGAGGCTGGTGCGTCTTCTCTCGCAGGATAAGGAGCCCCGGGGCATCATCCCGCTGGAGAACCTCAGCATCAGGGAGGTGGACGACCCCCGGAAGCCCGTAAGCTGCTTTCCTCCTGCCAGCTTGTGTCCTCGCGGCCACCTGGGCTCCGGCACTGGCGGCCCGGGCAGGGGCCTGGATGCGGCATGACGCCCCTCTCTGTCTCCCCCAGAACTGCTTCGAGCTTTATAACCCGAGCCACAAAGGGCAGGTCATCAAAGCCTGTAAGACAGAGGCTGACGGCCGCGTGGTGGAGGGCAACCACGTGGTGTACCGCATCTCTGCGCCCAGCCCCGAGGAGAAGGAGGAGTGGATGAAGTCCATCAGGTGAGGGGGAGGGGGAGGCCCTCGGGTAGGGGGGAGTGGGGGAGGCCCTCGGGTGGGGGAGGCCCTCAGGTGGGGGGGAGTGGGGGAGGCCCTCAGGTGGGGGGGAGTGGGGGAGGCCCTTGGGTGAGGGGGGAGTGGGGGAGGCCCTCGGGTGAGGGGGGAGTGGGGGAGGCCCTCGGGTGGGGGGGAGTGGGGGAGGCCCTCGGGTGGGGGGCAGTGGGGGAGGCCCTCGGGTGGGGGGGAGTGGGGGAGGCCCTCGGGTGGGGGGGAGTGGGGGAGGCCCTCGGGTAGGGGGGAGTGGGGGAGGCCCTCGGGTGGGGGGGAGTGGGGGAGGCCCTCGGGTGGGGGGGAGGGGCGAGGCCCTCGGGTGGGGGAGGGGAAGGCCCTCGGGTGGGGGGGAGTGGGCGAGGCCCTCGGGTGAGGGCACGGGGGTGGGGGTGGGGTGAAGCCCATCAGGTGTGCGGGAAGCCCCAGGTTTTGTACTGGCCTCAGGCCGTCAGTAATCAGTGTGGTTATTGACAACCACCACCTTGTGATTCTTACTAGAATTACAGGATGCCCTTCAGCTGTAACCTTCAGAAAACTTGAAAAGATGCAGATTAAAAGACTTGGAAATGACACAGCCCACATGGGGCCAACACATGAGCTCCCAGGGGTAGTGTGCACGCAGGCCTGAGTGCCCCTTGTATTGGGTTCTAGGTGGGAGCCTAGAGTTTTGAGGACTCACCCTTTCTTGGTGAATTTAAAACTCAGTAACTTGCCCTGGCCAGTTTGGTTCAGCAGTTAGCGTGTCGGCCCATGGACCGAAGGTTCACCGGTTCGATTCTGGCCAAGGGCATGTACCTTGGTTGTGGTTCCGTCCTTGGCCCTGGTCGAGCCTTGTGGGAGGCAGCTGGTCGATGTGTCCCTCTCACATCGATGTCCCCCCCCCCCCCCCCCCCGCCTCCCTCCTTCCCTTCCACTCTTACCTGAAGATAAATGGAAAAATACCCTTGGGTGAGGATTCAAACAAAACTCTTAGGAATTTAAAGCAAGAAGAGAAAACAAACAAGTAGCCTAGATGGTCTCTATCGAAATCAAGATTCTAAAAGCAAGGAGCACATTGGGGGTGGCTCCGTGTGGGGGCGGTGCCGGGAGGTTCTGGGGCAGTGTCCTGGGGTCCTGGGCGTGGTGGCCGAGCTGTCCGAGCTGAAGCCAGGCCCTCGCACGATGAACTGGAAGCGCAGCCGCCAGGGCTGACAGCTCAGGCTCCAGCCGTCCCTGCCGGGTGGACGGGGAGGACGTGCGTCCGTGCGTGGTGGGGGGCCGGGTGCTGCGGGCGCACCTACCCGAGTCCTTCTGTTTCCCCAGGGCCAGCATCAGCAGGGACCCTTTCTACGACATGCTGGCCACACGGAAAAGGAGGATTGCCAATAAAAAGTAGCTTTCCTGGCCCGAACAGGTAAAAGTAAAAGCCAAACCCTCAGCAGAAAGTGGCTGGGAGGCCTGCCCGCGACACCCTGGACCCAGCAGGCCCTTTGCAGGACGCATCCCAGGAAGCCCACGCTGGTGGCCTGGCCTGGGCTCTCCGCAGCCCCGGCTCGTCTGGAGCGGGCGCCCAGCCTCCCCCCGGCCCAGCGGCCCGTCCACAGCATCCCCTCGGCTCCACGCGGCAGCGGCGCCTGGACAGTCTGTGCAGCGGACTCGGGTTCGAGGTCTGTCCTGGAGCCTCGCTCGTACTGGCTGCCACACGTGCTCCTGCGTGGCAGTGTCCACTGTTCCAGAAGCCTCTGCGTTATATCAAAACAGGGAAGGAAAAGCTACCACTTTTATATTCAGATTTTTTCTCAGATATATAGGATTATAGCTTTTATATGACTTTTTATATTCTGAAGTTACAATGACAGATACTTTCTAATAGTAGTATTTTTAGAATGGCAGCTATAAATTTAACTCCTGACACAAGTATATACTGTGCACTGAAAAACAAATTATATAGACACTACATATGCCGCAGCGGGGGGGTGGGCACTGGCGTGGGCCTTGCTTGTGTTGTTTCAAGCGCCGCTGCTCTGTGGGTGCCCTCTTCCCTCCTGGGACAGGGAGGGGACCTGTGTCCTTGAGGACCACGAACACTGGGCAGGGCTTCAGGTGTCCATTCCCCTGGGACCTCTCAACTCAGAGTTGGTGACCCCACAGATACTTTCTGAAAGGCCAGTCATTGAATTGGTGTCTGAGGGCATTTGCCTGGTAGCTGCTGAACTCCAGCACAGATGTCTGTGTGGAACTGTGTGACTCCGCCAACGTTTGACTGTTTCTGACCCCCACAAGCTGCGGTCTCATACAGTTCAACGGCACGGGGTTCAGGCCAGCGTGAGACCACTGTCTTCACTATTCAGACCTGTGGGCAAAGTGGATGCTTGTGTCACTGACCTAATGGACCAGATTTCCAAATGTGTGGGTATGCAAGGAACTAGAAATATCTCGTTCCTGTCTCCGAGGCTTGCTCTCCCGTCGAGAGGAGGACGAGCGAGCCGTGGCGGGTGCGCAGCACCTAGGGACTCCTGTAAATACTTTAAAACCCCAAGTGCATGCTGGTGGTGGAACTTACGAAGGCCCGCGACCAGGCTGCTGTCAGGAGTACGTTTGTCGGGCCCCAGCATGTCCCGAACGGCCGAGGTGCACAAGTGGGCAGGGCTGGAGGCCACATGCTGGGGCAGGACGTGCTGGTTCTTAAGTGGCATGGCCTTTCTTTTTCTTGGGAGCTTCATTCCCATCACCAGGGCCACCTTGCCCACCCACCTGGGCTGTTCCGGTGGTGGGTCCCTTACCCCCAGCAGCTCCCCCTGCCCTGTCGCATAGGCACAGCCTGAATTTGCACCCTTCAGAGGTCATTACTCCTGTGTGAAGTCCAAGTCAGAGAACCTCAGACTGACCTATGCACTTGATGGAGATCCCAGCGGCAGGAGGGACCGTTCCTGAGTTGCCTTGCTGGGACTTGGTGGCTGTGGGCCCTTGGCCTTGGAGCAGCTGACCTTGACGTAGCTTTAAGTCACTAGACTGCAAAGGGTCTGACCCTCTGCCCATGCATCAAACTGGTTTTTCTGGATTATTCCCGAGCTCTTAGGCCTTGTTACTGTACTGATACCTCACATTCAAAGCTTTAGTTTTTGAGAAAGGCAAGGCATCGTCCTTGAAATGCCTGACTGCTGCATAGGCAACTGGTCTCCATCCTCTGCGACCACAGAGACACTTCCTGGCCCGCCTGGCCAAACACTGTTGAAGATGACTCGGCAGCGCCACCCCTCGGGCTGGCCCCAAGCCCAGGACTGCCCTTGGTGTCGGCTGCTTCAGTATTTCACACATGGACATTCTGTCCTTGCCCAGGTAGGACCCTGGGGATACAGGGCTCTGTTTTCTGGGTTTGGCCCCAGTGGGGTTGTGAGCGGTGAACCTAAGGAAACCCCCGAGGAGGTGTTTCTCTGGTTGTCTTGGAAGGAGACTCGCTGGATGGCTGTTCCCCAGGAGGAGCGGCAGAAAGTCGTGGTGCTCAGATCTGTGTACCTCGCCCTCAGAGTGTTATGTTACATAACCTGATTCTGGGTTTTGTTGTGACAGTATTAACCTGACAGGCATGTAGCCATCACCCCACTAAGCCCTGAGGCAGGCCTAGTGCCTGGACCGCCGTATGATCATGTTCATCCTCTTCCCTGCCCCCGTCTGTGCTCAGTGCTGAATGATCCCCATCTGGCCAAAGACATGCTCCCCACCCAGCCTCCCCAAGGCCAAGGCAGGAGGTGTGAGGGGCTCTGGGTGATGCTGCGGCGCCCACGGGCCTCAGCAGGTGAGGTTTAGCTGGACGACCCTGGACTGACTGACAAACGTCCTCAGGGTCACAGAACATCTCTGAGCAGTTTAACGTGGTACCAAATTGTCCAAATAGAAGCTATTTATAGATGAAGCGATGCATAATACAGCGACATCGATGTGCTTTGAGGAAAAGTTAGGTCTGTTGTAGACCAGAAGCCACATGTGATCTTAGACATTTCTATTTACAGTAAATATGGTTGATATGTAAATAGTGTACATATATATATTGATTTCTGGAGTGTTTATTCAATGTATATACTCCTACAACGTGCATGAAGAAATATCCTGTATCAATATTTTGTTGTAAATAGTAAAATTGGAGGGTGTGTGGCTGTCCAATTGCAAACACTATGTTCACGAAATAAAAGTGAAATGCACTGTCAGACAAGAGTGTCTCAGACTTGGGTCTTTAAAATCGATTGTGGGCCCTGCGAGCCCTGCGACCCTCGCCGCCCGCCCCCAGGCCTGCGCTTTGGACGCGTGAAGGCGACAGGACAGTCATGCAACGTGTCTGTAAGCAAACGGGGCAAACAGCAGTAAAAAAGAAGACACAAAATGTTTAATTTGCTGCCATTTATATACTATATAAATTTTACATGCTGTATATTTACAGTGGGGCAAGTGCTTTTTTAATCTTTAAAAAAACAAAGATCAAACTTTAGACATCTCTGAACAACACAAACTGTATAAACCATACAGATTATTCAGATACAAACTGTATCAAATACAGTTTTCCCCACTCCGTCTCCTGATGCAGGACCAGTGAATTATAAGTGTATCACAGTTTGATAGCATATCCATATTAAAATAAAATCACAGTATGATTTTGTCTGTAACTAGAAACTTTTCAGGGACCAAGCTGACAACTCAGACTCCAATGTAGTCAAGACGAGACACTGTATAAAAAGTGTTATGTAATAAAAAAAGTAGGCTTTTACAAATAATGTTTGGATTATACATTCATAATGTAAATACGCATCATAACTGGTAAATTGATTGGAATAGTTCCACAAAGTTCAAAAACAGAACTTGTCTATAAAATACACCTTCAAATCTCGAGTACAACTAAAATATGAAGCAAATTAGTTTCTAGTATCAGACATTACAGAAAACAGACTGCTCTCAAAAGTCTAGTTGAGAGCTTGTGGGTCTTTAAATAAGTCTTTAAATTAAATATACATACTGTCAGTTGTTTACTTTAACAATCCCATGGCTTCCCGGCTGGTCTTGGACCGGATGTCTGACTTGGAGGAGCATCACATGGAATACGAGTGATCAACCTGAGTCTGTGATTAAGCAGCATTTGAGATGTTCTATTCCAGGGCGGTATTTTTAATGTGACTTATATACATGGTATTTTACAATGCTCAGCAGTTGTAGAAAGTGTTCATCCATTTGGAATAAGGGTAATTAAGAAAAGGTAAAAACTAAAAAAAAAGTTCTCCATGGTAAAATCTGTACAGTATTTACTAAAGAAGCACCACGCAGATTTGAACAAAGTTATTTTCTATATTTATAATTTAAGCTGGGTTGGGGATGGCTTCTGTTGAACATGTTGAATCTGAAAAACAAGAGGCAGGAAGTTGGAACAAAGGTCTGGTGGGGCCCAGGTGGGCCCTGTCCGCCTCCTCACACCAGTACTAATTCACGGATCCTGGGTAGTTCCCCCAGGGCTCTGGGAAGCTCTCCTTCCTGAAACACTAGCTGTGCCTTTCTGAAGGGCAGTAAAGGAACTGGGCGGTGCCCAGGTGTGCGGGACGAGCAGGCAGACAGCTCGGCAAGAGGGCGCCCTCTGCTGGGAAGGACTGCCCACCGACCCCAGCGGTGGCTGAGCCATCTCAGTCCTTCAGTCCCTTCGGGGGACAGGGGACGAGCTGAAGGCCTCAGGCCTAGGTCGTTCCCTGGAGAACTCTGATAAAGCACGTGAACTAACCGCACATTAACCCTCTGTGGACACTTGGAAGTTCCATTTAAAATCCCTCTTGCTGACAAGAAGTTACACATTTGGGCAAAATGGCTCCCTCTCCCCTTTCCCTCAGCAAGGGCAGGGCACAGGACGTCAGTTATATCTCCCGGGGCCACTGAAAAGGTCAGCGGTCAACTGCGTGACACTGTCCAGGTATAAAACACCCAAACCTTGCCCAGCCGGTGTGGCTCAGTGGTTGAGTGTCGACCCTGCACCAAGAGGTCGCTGGTTTGATTCCCGGTCAGGGCACATGCCCAGGGTGTGGGCCCCAGTGGGGGGCGTGCAGGAGGCGGCCAGTCGATGTTCTCTCTCATCCATGTTTCTCTCCCCCTCTCCCTTCCTCTCTAATATCAATAAAGGAAAGGGGAAAAAAAAAACCCAAATCTCATTAAAGCTAAGTCCTTTTTGTCTGAAATGGTGGGGGGTGGAGTCTGATGCCTCTGATTTGTGGGTGCTCTGGCCGGGCCCCGGGGTGTGTGAAGAGATGGAGGCTCCAGGGCCCCTCTTTCAGGCCCTTTGGCGGGTGTGGGTTAGGAGACTGGATTCTCCATCTCTCCAAATGTTTCCCATGACTGTTACTCTGATAACGTCAGTGCCTCTTTTCTTCCGATGAGGGAGGAGCAGGAACAGTGACTGAGTTTAGGGACGCGGTGCCCCTGGCCGGGATGCTGAGGAGGGAGCGTCAGGGTCAGCTGCCCTTGCTGGGGGAGCCCCATACCTGCCCCCCACAGCGCCTCCACCAACAGTTACGAAGTATAGAAAGCGGCTTACCATAACTAGTGAACTCTGTGTGTGAGGCCAAGTTCTCAGTCACCTAGAACGCAAGCAAAGGTTAAGAAACAGCTTAATGGCCTCGCAGACGCCTGGTCCTGCGCTGCGTGCGCGTCAAGTGAGTGCCCTCGGCCACTTCGCACGGGAGCAGTGCCCGGCCGGCCGGTGCGAGCTGCCAGGGGGCCCGTCCCTGTGCTACTCAGAACGAGCGTGGGAAGCAGCAGCGGAGCCACCCACGCCCGCGGGAACGCCCGTCAGCCCCAGCGGACCAGCCTGTCACATCAGGAGGGAACACTTAGAGCAGAGGAGGTGGGGGTTCAGAGAGCCAGAGAAAAAGTCTGAACGACAGGTAAGCGGTCAAGATGGCAAGACAGAGGACACATGTCAGACATGGTTGACAGGGACGCTGGCAGTGGAAAGCTGGGTGACTGCCCTCCGGTGACAACAGGCCGGACAGTGCCCGGGACTCAGCAGAGCGTGCCGTGCCGTGCCGGCGAGGTGGGCACTCAGCCTACTCCCTCCAGAGCACCCGTGGGCGCACCCCCCACTGTGCCGCAGCCTCTGGCTGTGGCCCCCACTGGAGACCTGGGCCAGACGGGAGGGGTCTGGCAGCAATGTGGATGCCCTGGTACCCCCAGCACAACAGCCCCTCATTAAGCAGAGGGGAGAAGGGACTTGATCTTCACCAAGCCCCTTCCCCAAATCACTGACATGCTGATGGGAAACCAATCTGAAAATACACATATTAGATTCTTCAAAGAGCAAATACCACTTCTGCTCGACTTCTCTTGCTGCTGCGGCCGCCCGCGTCCCCCACACCTGACGGGCACTCACCACCCGACGGGCACTCCGGGCCTCAGTGTGTTTTCTCCTGGCACACTGGGCCCACGGGTCCCTCCTGTCAACCCCTGTGGGCAGACTGCCCCCAACACTGACAGCTCAGCTGAGGCCAGGACAGTCGAGAACCAACAGGCCTCTGGACAAGCAGGGTGAGCGCCGGTGTCCAGGGCAGGGTTGGCGGACTTCCACGAAGGCCATGAAAGCCGGGCTTGCTCCGCTGCAACTCCACACTGCACTCCAACCCCGTGGGAAAGGACACCGTGGACTCCTCCAGCCACGTGAGCTGTCCAGGCCATTCTCACTGCCTGGTTCTGTCCCCCAGGCTGCAATCTGCCGACGCCCGTCTGGCCCGCTACCCTACATCACACCTTCTCAAAAGTTCGGGGCTGCTCTCCAGGGTCGAAGGTCACTGGGGCAGATAGAACGGGGAGGGGCATCTTTAAGTGCAATCAGATAGAAAGGGCTACCCAATGGACTCCGAGGGGCACAGTTGTGCAGAGCAGATGAGACCAGGACACCCAGACACACTCATCAGGAGCCAGAGCCCACAAGAGACGCAACAGCTGACGTCCCTAATGACCCGTCATCAAACTGTGACTTCTAGGTTATACTCAGAATGCTAGAGGCTTAAGGATTCAGGAGAGAAATAATATCAAAAATGGTTTAAAAACAAAAGTTCTGGTCCTTCATGAGGCAAACACTCGATACCTGGAGCCCTAAATCCCAGAAGTGCATGTCCAGAGGTTCTGTTAGGCACAGGTCCATGTAACCCGGACTTTCCATAAACAGTAAGGGGTCAGTGCTGAACACCTACGCGGGCCACAGAGCACATCCCCTGGGGGAGGCGGGGTGGAGGAGGCAGGGCGGGAGGGGCTCCTACTGCCGTTGGGGTTTTCTTCCCTGTGTTTTCCACCTTTTGCAAAAATACCAGTTCCTATATTTTTAATTCCAAGTCTCTCCTCTTACCCTGGCCACACTCAGACGGGTAACACCTGCCATCCCTGCTCTCCATCCTTAAGCGTTCTGCCTTCTCGCGCAAAGGGCCCACACCTTCCAGAGGCGGGCCCTCGGCGAGGGGGCGGCCGCCGTCCGCTCTCCGGGCACGGCCAGCAGTCTCAGAGCTGGCGGCCTTAGCTAAGTGCAGTCCTGGATCTTTACCAAAGTCCTCGGATTTTCTTGAATGTCTCTTCTTTTTCTTCTTCTTTTTTCTGTGTCTGTGGATGTCAGCATCAGAGTATGCTACTGAGAGATCTGAGTCCTGCTGATGCCTGCAGAAGAATAAGCCAGAACTCAAAAGACCAAAAAAACAGAACCACCTCAAAGAGAACTGGTCCTTGGGTGTGTTTTTTTTTTAAATCCTCACCCGAGGATAGTTTTCCATCTATCTCAGGTACAGTGCAGGGAAGGAGGAGGGGGGGGGGAGGGGAGAGAGAGGAAGAGAGAGAGAGAAACATCCATGTGAGAGGGACACATTGACTGGTTGCCCCCTGCATGACTTCGACCAGGGCCGGGACGAACTATAGCTGAGGTACGTGCCCCAACCAGAATTGAACCCTCGACTCTGGTACAAAGGCTGATGCTCTAACCACTGAGCAAAACCAGCCAGGGCTGGTTCTTGGCTTTTACATCCACACTGTGGACACTCATTATGCAAATACAGGTAAAATTCTTGTACCATTATTGCATTGGGCTCTGACCAATGTGGCTCAGTGATCAGAACATCAGCGCACACACTGAAGGGTCGAGGGTTCAATTCCTGGTCAAGGGCATGTACCTGGGTTGCAAGTTCCATCCTTGGCCCAGGTCAGGGCATATGCGGGAGGCAACCAGTCAAGTGTATCTCACATCATGTTTCTCTCTCTCTCCTGCTCCTTCCCTCCCTTCCACTCTCTCTAAAATCAATGAAAAAATATCCTCAGGTGAGGATTAACAAAACCAAAACCAAACAAATGCATTGTAACAATTTTTTTAAAAGTCCACGGTCATAAATTCACCCATCTCAGCCCCACCCCACCATTGCATGTAGCTTTGCTCAGGAGCTAAGGTGGGCGGCCAAACACTGCAGGAAGGATGTACTACCCTTCCTGAAACTAGTGGCTGAGGCAACACCCTTCTGCAGGTGTCTCAGCCCCCCAGGAGGGGCCGATGAGCTCCTCCTCTCACTAACCACCATTCACCAGTGGCTTATGGTACTCTTTTCCCAAGGTTTCAATTTTAAGAGATGTCAAGTGTATACAGTGTAATGTGTAAGTAATTCTAGCTGTGCTCATCCATCTCATCATGGATAAGACATTTTCAAGACACTTGCTGACCAATTTAGCTTTTTAAGAATACAAAAATACATTTCCCAATTAGATGTCAAATTGAGAAATGGAGACAGAAAAATAGACAAAGACACAGGCAACAAAAAAATGCATCTCAGATCCCCACTTAGGGTAGGCAAATATCAATGCGACGGTGGCTTCCCATTTTCTGCTCCCCTGGAAGTCATGAGTTTGAAGAAAATATTAACAGATATGACAATGTAAGTACATCTGACCATTAAGAGTATTAGCACCAATTGTGAAGTCAAAGAACCAAGCTTCCATTTACAGAGCATCACACACTTACTCCTAGAGATATAAAGCATTGATCGAAATGGCAATTTAGAAAAATGAGATTTTTAGGCATTTTATGATACTGTGAAGTAAGATACAACTTAAAAGCAGAGCTAAATTTTTAAAATCTGTAAAAACAGTGCGATCTCAAACCCACAGCAATGAGAGACGCAGAGCGAACCCATGGGCAGGCCCGGCCTCCGCGGCACTGAGCCGGGTCGGAGAGGAGGCGAAGCTGAGGACTAGCCTCGCCCACTGCTGCACGCGTGGCCACGCCCTCACCTGGAGTCTCGCTCTCGGTGTTTGTCTTTGGATTTCTTTTTCTTCTTTGATTTTTTGTGCTTCTTCACTTTAGGTTCTTCCAAAGGGTCCCTTTGCAAGCTTCTCCAGGCTTTCTTTTCTACGTGTGTGTCATTATGCTCTATACTATCGTACCTCCGTTTTCGTGACTTGACAGTTTCGTGGTCGTGAAAGCGATCGGCGAGGTGACAACCGCTGCCTTCGGGTACCAGAGCCATTTTCTCGTGGGCGTACTTCTCAGGGTAGGGGGGCAGGGCGTGGGTTGGGCCTGCCCGGGGGCTGCTGAAGTGGGGGCGTTCCCTCTCTTTGGCAACCAGCTCATAGCCCTTTCTGCTTTTATAGTAGTCCTTGTACGGCCGGCCGCCATGCTGACCCACTCGCTCACAGTCTCGCTCACAGTCTCGGTCCCCGTGCAAAGGCCTCCACTCCCACGCCTCCCTTGCCGTGTACGGGGTGTACCTGTCATGGTAATACCTGCATTTGTCCCACCTCATTTTGTCTGAGTAGTACTTCTCCCGGCCCCAGGAGTGCTCCCTTTCCGAGTGGTGGTACCTGCCCCAGTCCTGGTCGGACCCTCCTGTGCTCCGGGAGTGGTGGCGGTGGTGCCTGGCCAGGCCTCGGTGCTGGCAAGGGTGGTGCGGGCCCCCGCCGCAGTGCTCGGGCCTGTAGCGGGCCTGCAGGGCACGCTCCCGCGTGTAGGAGTGCCGCCTCCCGTGGTAGCGGTCCTCCGTCCTGCTCCTGCTGTCCCTCGCGTGCTCCCCGCTGGAGGAGCGGTCTCTCCGGCTGCGATAGTGTCCTCGGTCAACTTTGCGGAGGCTGCTGATTTTTTCCTTAACTGGAGAATGCTCCTGGACTTTCTGCCCAGCCTTACTTTCTTCACATGGCTCCCCAGGACTTGGTTCGGGAATTCCACCCCCTTCTGAACGGTTTTCTGTAACTCTGTCCAGCTGAGGAGAGGGCAGCCCGTCTGCAGGCACACCCGTGATTCCAGACACGTCTTCAGTGTTCGTGCACTTGTCTCGGCTGCTGTAAACTGAGGGTTCCTGCTCACTGTCACCCCTGGAACATGCCAAGGGACTCGGGCTCAGCCGCCCCGTGGCTTCCACTGCTGCCGAGTCCCGGGGACTCTCTGTTAATGTCCCTGTTACATCCTGGGATGCTTTGCTCTCATCACCTGTTAAATTCCCAGGGTCACACAGTTCAGACAGGTGATCGTCCCCAGCGGTACTCTTGTTGCCATTACAAAGATGGTTGACAGTGGGGAAAGACTCCTCAGGTTTTGCTGAAATGCTTTCAGAGACGACTTCTTTGGTAGATTTGATGCTGGGGTCCAGGAGTGGCACAGCCTTCTTCAATTTGCTGCTAAGACTCGTGACTGTCTCCAGCTTCTCCCGGGGGTCCGGAGGGGGGCTGCCGGGCTCCAGTCCTACCTCGGGATGCTCTGTCAGGCTTCCCTCTGTTCCAGTTGCACTGCAGCACGACCAAAACAAAGAAATAAACAAATTAGTCATTTGCCAGATTGCTTTATGGGTTTTTGTCATTGGCTCACAGGGACAAACACTTCAAAACATTCATTTACTAAGTATTTTATACCCTTAATATATCTGGTTGAAACCCAATAGTAAGCTTACTTACTATTAGGAACCCCTGAGGCTTTGATAAACGCACTCTGCCCTTGGTCACTGGGGCCTCCTGGTGTACTGGAGGCTAATGGAAGCTGCCAGGAGACAATAAAAACCCTACAGCAGACCCCAATTTTAGCAGGAAAATATCTGGGACATGAAGTCAATACCCAAAAGTTTTCTAGAGCGCAGCAGTTTCTCAAGTCAGCATGTAATGCAACACACACTTGGTTACAATACATGCACGGTTTGGTTTATATAACTACATGAAATAATTCTCATGCACATTACATGCGAGGACAAAGTAAGCTAGCCTAGGAAAGAAACAAAGTCAGAAAGCAAGGTAAACTGGGAGTGGGCGTCCTCTGCCTACACGATTGACGATCGACTCCTTCCATTTTAATAAGTAAGCCTTTCCTACGGTGGCTCAGCGAGGGCACACCACCTGCGGGGGCCATTCAAAAATGTGGGTACATTTCTGGGTTGTCACAGTGATGGGGGAGCCCTACTGGCAGTGGTGGGCAGGGGACAAGGCAGGCAGGCCCATAATGAGTGAGGGACCTATATCCCATGTTCCAATGTTGACGTGGGTGGAAGCCCCGGTGACACTACTATTGGCAGTTTCCATGGAAACGAGATTATCTAGGAACACAACTACTGTGTCAATCTAGAGATGGTCAGAACTTCAAAGTTGTCCACCACGAGGACGTCACATCCTTGACAGCGAATGTATGTGGTGCTGAGCCCCCGAAGGCGCCCACGCCCTTGGCTGTCACATCCGCAGCAACCTGGCCGCAGCTCAGCCGGGCGCCTGCTTCCTCTCACGCAGTCTCCCTGGCCTCCACATGCTGACCTGCAGCTGCATTACACGATCCTTTCCGTTCATTCCCATTACGTTACCTGGAGGTCAATATACTATACTGACTTTTTTTTAATGAATGTGGAAGCAGGACTGACTTATCAATACATTTAATTTCAAAATTCTAGAGGCGTAAAACAAAACATTTGCTATTTGATAGTTGAGAACCACTGCCGTGTAACCGAATACATCATGTAGTTGTCATTGAAAGGGTTAAGTGAGACAGTGCTGGGTGCCAAATTCAGACGTGTACTCATAACATGCTTAGGGAGAAGAAAATGTTAGTTTGAGGACATCAAGCTTCCCGGGACTATCAGACCCTATACATTTTTTCTTTACTTTTCTAAAAAGCAAATTAACAAATTCTATAGGTCATTCAAGTCATTCCAGGATTCAAAGGTTCATCATAAAACTGGTACAGAGTTCAACTGGTGACAGGCCCATGGGCACCACTGTGATTTCCTCCTAAGTGACTCTGTTACCTTGGTTCATCTGTCGAGCCCTTCCCTTTGTTGCTGAGTTTGAAGGTCTCTAAGATTTTGTCTTCTGGGAGAGGTGGCAAAGGAGCAGGCATCAACTACAATAAAAAAACAAAGATGCTTCAAATCTGGTTGCTGCTCCATCCCTCCTGAAACCTAGCCGTGACCAGAACGAGCCAGAGCAAAGCCTGCCCGCCCCCACCCCGACACTCACTCACCTTTCCAGGTAGACCATTGGCCTTAGAAAAGGGATTTTCTGAGTGCGGAGCAGGCTGGACTTGGCAACTGGCACCATCAAATGACAGACCATTTTCTTTCAGGTCACTGTCTGTACTATTAGCACCATTTAGAGACACAAGTTCTCGAAGCTCATGCGGAGAGGTCTCGTCTTCTTCAGCATCCAGAGCAGAAGAATTTGAGTTCTCGACCGTACCTAGACCGTTCTCCCTGCCTAGGCCCTTTGCCTCCTCATCAGACTCTTCTGAGGACTCGGCACCGTAAGGGACCAGGACACTTGAACTCAGCTTGGACTTGCCATTCATCACGGGCTTGGAGCAGGACTCACTCGGGGCCATCTGCTTTGTAACTTGACTGGAAACGGGCGTGGTAGGCGTGCTCGAGGTAGACTGTATTGCAGATGAACTGGTAATGGTAGAAGAGGGAACAGGCTTGGTAGAGTTCTCCAAAGAATTGCTGTGAAGGTTAGGCTGAGACTGACCTTGACGAACAGGTAACTTGTTGTGAATACTGATCGTGATTTTTTGTTTCTTGGGATGTTCCGGAATAACTGAGGACCTGTTAACTGACCAGTTTTGAACAGAAGTTGAAGCATTAACAGGACCAGCCCTGTTGACATTGGAATTTCCATTAGGACTCGACATGGAACTGCTCGGCGTTTCTTTCAATGATCCGGTCCCATTCAGGTGTGGTGAGTTCTGGAAGCAAGAAGACCCCAGCCCACTGGTGAGAGCTCCAGAAAGTCTCAGAAAATTCATTCTGGCTACAGACCCTTCCCATTTGGTCTTTTTCTTTTAATAAATAACAAGCTCCACACACCTAGAAACACTTCCTGTGCGCTCCTGCCTGCCATTAACCTTTCACAGTCATCGTTTTCTGATAATTAAGCAACAAGCAGAGACAACTGTTCTTGCCAGAGAACAGTGCCCAGACCAAATTCTTTCTGCTGCATCGGACAGAAATGAACAGGCCCCTTTGGGCAAGGAGTCACGTGTCCTAGGCTGGGTCTTGGGAGCCCAGTCTGTACAGGCAGAAGGGGGCCAGCCAGCAGGGAATTGCTGCTGGCCACCAGTGAGGGAGCGGGTCACATGGCAGACACGAAGAGCAGCTTCAGACACCACCGGCTAGATCATCCCCTCACCCCCTCCCACCACGATGTCTCTGAATCCCAGATTCCAACTACTGTGGCTACACCCTAGCTGCAAATTGGAGTTCATGGGTGAACTGTGGTTCATATATGAGTTCTGTTTGGCCTTCACAATGTTTTCTTAAATATCTGAATTAGTTCCAATCTTAACTTTGGAAGGTTTCATGGTACAAGATAGACTCTTGAAAAACCAATAGCAGCCACCCCTCAACACAGGGCACGTGTTCTCCGGTTAGCCAGTGTCCCGATCTCACTCTTACGAAGAGCCTAAATCAGGAACCTGCTGCCCTCTCAGCTCCCAGAAGCCTTGGATTTGTGACTCCTGCTATAATCCAAACACTGCCCCATGTCCCTAAGAAACAGCACACAACTAGACAATCTGCTGATTCAAAACCAATTAAACTCAAACTGAAAGACTGTTTAAAACACTACAGCACAGTCCTGGCAGGTTTGGCTCAGCGGTTAGAGCGTTGGCCTGCGGTCCGGAGAGACCCGGGTTCAGTTCCCGCTAAGGGCACGTACCTCAGTTGCAGTTTGTCCCTGTCCCTGGTTGGTCATGAGGGTGGCAGCCACTCGAGAGAAACATCGACGTTCTCTCTCTCCCTTCCCTCCCACTCTATCTGAACAAAAAAATGGAAAAATGTCCTCGGGTGAGGATAAAAAAACAAAACAAAAACACTACAGCACAGATGACATAGAGGATTCCAACATGGGGACAGGCCACTCATGACCTCTACACGGAAGTCTACCAAGAGGTGGGCCCTGCTCCACAAAGCCTTGGAGGGTCACAAGACCCAGGCATGCCATCCGTTCTCCCCAACAGGCCTCCTGGGAGTGTGGTCAAACCCAGATGGACAGTAGACAGAAAATGCCATGCCCCTGAAAGAGCTAACCAGACATAATAAAAGTGTTCTGTGTGTAACAGAGCCACTTTTCCTGGAGTCCAGCATTAATGAAGGATCCTCAGATATTTAAATTTTTTATTTTAATCCTCACCTGAGGATACCCTCCCATTTTTTCTGTTCAGATAGAGTGAGAGGGGGAGAGAGAGAGAGGAACATCGACGTGAAAGGGACACACTGAGTGGCTGCCACCCACACGATCCAACCAGGGCCGGGGACAAAATGCAACCAAGGCACGTGCCCTTAGCGGAAACTGAACCCGGGTCTCTCTGGACCGCAGGCTGACGCTCCAACCACTGAGACAAACCAGCCTGGGCAGATTCTCAGATATTTAATCCATTAAGTGAACAGAAGTCCATTGTGAGAGCTAAACTCTCTAGCATTTAAATAACTTATACCCAGACTCTCTTTTTTTTTTTTTCTCTCTCACCTGAGAACATTTTCCCATTTTTTTGTTCAGGTAGAGTGGGAGGGAGAGAGAGGAACAGAGAGAGAGAGAGAAACATCGATGTGAAAGGGACACATCGAGTGGCTGCCACCTGCACGACCAACCAGGGCCGGGGACAAACTGCAACCGAGGTACGTGCCCTTAGTGGGAACCGAACCCAGGTCTCTCCAGACCGCATGTCGACGCTCTAACCGCTGAGCCAAATCGGCCAGGGCACCAGACTCTCTTCTTAGATCATTATATCCACACACTGAGATGTGCTATGCATTTTAAATATTTTATAATAAATAGCTTGAATATATTATTTTGACAATAAATTAATTTGTACATGAGGCCATGGCAACTACTGCAACTAGCCTCAGGGTTTGAATGACACATTTAAAAAAATTAACATAAAGGTTACGTTCTACCCATGGAATGTTACCTTTATCATGTGAGAAGGAAGCTGTGGTCCGATGAACCCTGACACGGCCTGTTTGTTGTTGACGACGCGCTGACTGATTACGGGTCGGGGAGAGGACTGGCCGGGGCTGTGGGCGGAATGAGTAAGTTCACCTCCATTTTTTACATCATGGGACCTGGGGACAGAGAGTAACATTGCTTATGGTTATACAGGACGTCTCAGAAGAGATTCGTTTATAAGCCTCAGGTAACAGACCGATCTGCTGCAGGGACAGCTGCACACAGGCTCTCCTCTAGGTCCAAGTTAATGCAGGTGCTCAGACTGGGAAACCACCAGGGTAACTGGCAAAATAGTACATTTAACTGTGTATTCTGAGGATGCCACTGTCTGGAAGCTATTTTGCTTTTCAGTTTAATTATATTTCAGTTTAATTATATTTTGTTCTTATAAATACATACATACCATTTTAGAAAATCTGTAATATCTGGAAAAGTTAGAAAGAAACAAAACCACTGTGCCACATCTCACCCCTTAGAGGCATCTGCTGTTCAGATTTAGGAGGTTATCCTCCACACTTAAGCCTATACAGTTTTTTTGGGTTTTGTTTCCAATAACAGTGTAAATTTCAAACTTCTTTTCCTCTATATATATTGAACACTTTCTCAAGTCATTAAAAAAAAAGCTTCATGCAAATCACTTTTAACAGCTGCATAATATTTCAACATATTGGATATGCTATAATTTATCTGATCATTCTGCTACTGTTGAAATTTCAGACTGTTCTTACTCTACAGCCATCACAAACGAGTACCTGAAGCACACCTGTCTCCAAGGCCGCACACTTCCAGCAAAGGAAGGAGCGAGTCAGTCCGCAGCAACATCGGGAGAGAAATGAGCGGGGGTGCGGGTACCGGCCCAGGCCCTCTCCAGGAAGGCGTCGGGCTGCCTGTGCTCAGTGACTGAGCGGGGACCACACCCATTGCTGGAGCCCCCTCCCCGAGGCCTCCGCGGCCCCCAGGCCCCCAGCTGGTGACCCGCAGCAGAAGCCTGCCTGCCTCAGCTGTCACCTGCCCCTTCCCCGAAATGTGTGTACGGTGACCCTGCCGGAGAGCTGGAGCCGAGCAAACGCAGGGCGCGCCCTCAGAAGCGGTGCCCCCAACTCCCCCGAGCACCACACTGCTGCTTTCAGAATAGCCCAGTGTTGAATTTAAATATGTTGATGAGATGAACAGAAATGACATAATGGAAAACTTGAAAATCTGTCTTCCTGACAATACCTGATATAAAAGAGAACATACGCTTGTTGACTGAGTACCGATCTGATATCACTGGTAGATACGATGGAGTCATTCATCTGATACCAGAGGCCATTGCTAGCCTGCAAGGGAGTCAATAAAAGAGATAGTTGATACGATTAGCTAAGGAAGGAGCACCAATCTAGAGCAACGAAAGAAAAATGGAATCCCACATTCTAACTGTAAGAGTCCCACCTGCCCTCCAAGAATGCCAGTGTTCCCTTAAAGTGTGTTCTAAATCCACACAGCTTACCTTTATGTAGCAGAAGTAATGGCCAGCATGGCAATTAAAACCAGTGTGTACCAGTACTGCATACAAAACATAAATAATTGGTTCTCCGTTTGGTTGAGACATGTATGGTCGAATATCAAGATATTCAGGATATTTCACATCCTAAACAGAAACAAGGAAAAAGGAACGTCATTTCTGAAGGCGCAGACTGTTCCACATGTTCAGGTGTGGGGTGTTTAGGGGCAGGGCAGGGTACCTGCAGACCTCTGTACCCTATGATATTCTAGCAGAAACCTAACTCGTTGAACCCCATTTCAAAAGACAAGATTAACCTGAAACATATCTGAATCCTGTTTAATGCAATTCCACTATATTCTTTATTTTTTTGAATAAATAAGGATCCACATTAAGTGAATTCTTCAAATCCATCAAAGGAGATAGGAACAAAATGACAACTCTGGACTGTAGTCATCACTTATTTTTATTTTATTTTTAGTAATCCTCCCCAAGGATATTTTCCCATGGATTTTCTAGATAGAGAAGAGAGAGAGAGAGAGAGAGAGAGAGAGAGAGAGAGAGAGAGAGAAAGAGAGAGAGAGAGTAACACTGATATGAGAGACACACATCAACTGGTTGCCTCCTTGCATGACCAGAACAGGGCTGGGGATAAAACCTGCAACTCAGGTATGTGCCCTTGACTGAGAATCAAACCCAAGACCCTTCGGTCCATTGGCCAATGCGCTAACAGCTGAGCCAAACTGGCCAGGGCACTTATTTTTATTTTTAATAACTCAGGCCAGCCAGTTTGGCTCAGTAGTTGAATGTCGACCCATGCACCAGGAGGTCACTGGTTTGATTCCCAGTCAGGGCACATGCCCGGGTTGTGGGCCAAATCCCCAGTGGGGGCATGGAGGAGGCAGCCAATCAATGTTCTCTCTCATCGATGTTTCTGTCTCTCTCTCCCTTCCTCTCTCTAGAGAATCAATAAAGAATCTCTCTCTCTCTCTCTCCCCTAAACACACAGAACATACTGTTAGCTCAATGATTTGACATTTTATTCCACTACCAAATTCTGGAAGAACTTAGAATACCAGGTAACAAAACTGTTCACTTAGGTTGTTTATAACCCTTAATAGCTACTGACACTTAGCCTTGAAAGACTCAACATAAAAGGTCACTAACATCTACATACCTTAGCAATTTTTCCACCAGTAAAATTTGCAAAGCGTTTCAAAGAAAGAGTAAGAACATTGGAGGATCTGTGTATGGTGAATCTCTTTGAAGCTGGAACCATCTTTTTACATCTTGAAATAAACAGAAACAAAAAAATTCAGATGATTAAGTTTTGGGGTTTTATTTTTTTGATATTTTAGTCTTTGTTTTATTATTTCTCTAAAACATTCTAAATTAAAGTTTCCAAGAGGATACTAGATGAGAAACACAAACCCTTTCAACCCGTCATAAAAAATATAAAAATTTACTATACTGGGGAAACTGCTTAATTAGCATGACAGGGGAACGGAAGCTGGGATGATTCTGAGGTGCAGAGACACACCGGTCACTGATATTTTTAAATTAGATTAACACAGGTTTTTGTCAATTCAAACAAACTGAAAAACAAACAGATTTTCAGGCTAGTATAACTGTGTGAAAACAAAACCCTATCTAGCTACAAAAGGAAGAAAAGTATTGATTAGAAATGTCCATGGAGTTTAACACAAAGAGAAATCCCTATGGCTTGGACAGAAGGAAGCCTTCTTCCCCACAAAATGACTATTTGTACCACCTGCCTATAAACTAAAACTCTACTTAAAACATACGAAACTGGGCTTTCTAAAACAGGCTCTCTTAACTTCAGGGGAAATATATTAAGGAATAATCAAAACTAGAGGTTTCGAACAGATACTACCCCAGTCTTGGGTAGGAGCCAGAGAGATGAAGACCCTGACCACCCTGACAACAGAATGGATGAAAACGCTGCTGCTGGGCACAGACATGACACCCTAGGTGGCACCTCCCTGCACAGCCCCAGAAGTGAGGCCCAGCTGTCTCATCTCTGCAGAGGACACACACAGCGCTGTGTGCCACGGCCCTGGAGGACAGACACAGGACCCCCTGGGACGGCATCAGCAGCTAAGGGGACCCCCACCCAGGCAGCACCCTGTCGTACTTGCTGCACTTGTAGGAGTTCTCGCCGTCCAGCTGCTCGGGCTTCACAAACTGCTCCAGCGCCTTGTTCACACTCTGAGCAGCCTGGGAAGAGAAGGCAGCACATGTTACCTCTCCCTGCCCCTTGTGAGGAGGAAGGACACTCAGCATGGAGTTTTTACATTAAAAAAAATGTTGTTATTAAGACATTCATTTCTATATGGAGACACACCAAGTTATTTCCCCTTACATTAAAATGAGCAGATTGCCTGGCAGATTGGCTCAGCAGTTAGAGCTTCAACCTGCAGACCACATGGTCTCAGGTTCAATTGCCGGTCAAGGGCACATACCTAGGTTGCAGGTTTGACTCCCAACCCCAGTGTGGGAGGCGACCAATCGATGTTTCTCTCTCTCTTCTCCCCTCCCTTCTACTCTATCTAAAAATCAATGGAAAAATATCCTCAGGTAAGGATTAACAACAACAAAAAGAGCAGATTAAAGTGAACAAAAATACATAAAAAGGTTGCTGGCTGAAGCATTATTTAAAATAGTATAAAAACGGCCCTGGCCACTTAGGCTCAGCGGTTAGAGTGTTGGCCCGTGGACCTGAGGGTCCCGGGTTCGGTTCCCACTAGGGGCACATACTTCAGTTGCAGTTTGTCCCCGGCCCCAGTTGGGTTCGTGTGGGTGGCGACCAGTTGATGTGTCTCTCTCATATCGATGTTTCTCTCTCTCTCTTCCTCCCTCTCTCCCTTCCACTTTATCTGAAAATAAATGCAATAATAATAATAATAATGTCCTCAGGTGAGAATAGAAAAAAAAAAGTATAAAAACGGAAACGAGACAATATCTATCAGCAAGGAACCAGGCATGTAAAGTGTGGTCTATCCACTCACTGGCCCACCACACAAACGCCAAAGCACACACAGAGATCCCCAAGCAGAATGAAATGAAAACAGCAAGTGGCCAGACTTCAAGTGTAACCCCATTTGTATGAACAGTATGTAACATACTCTGGAACAGTTTATTTCAAAGTGATAGGAAGAGCTCCTTCTGTGGGATGGGATCATATACATATCTGCAATGTTTCTCATTTTAACACATATTACATTCAAAATCAGAAAAATTAAGCTTAAGAACAAAACAATTAGAATTCAAAACATGGAAGAAACAAAACAATTTCTAAATAATAACTTCACCCAAGGCTAATATAGGTATCAGAATCTGGTTTTATTAAGATTTATTAAGTGAAACATCCAAGGGTAATAAAAAGATTAGGTGTTTAAGTTTTGTTTTTTTTTATCCTCACCCGAGGACACTTTTTTTGCATGTATCTTCAGATAGAACGGGAGGGAGAAAGGGAGGAAGAGAGAGAGAGAAAAACATCGATGTGAGAGAGACACATTGAGTGGTCACCACCCACACAACCCCAACTGGGGCCGGGGACAAACTATAGCCCAGTTACGTGCCCTTAGCGGGAACCAAACCTGAGACTCTCCAGTCCACAGGCCGACGCTCTAACTGCTGAGCCAAACCGGCAGGGCAGGTGTTTAAGTTTTTTATGATGCCGACTACAAAGCTTAAATAATCACCTGTAAATAAGGTCTTGGCATATTAAAAATTTAAATTCATTTCTCTAACAAGTTAGTCTTAATTATAAGCGAACTACAAATACATAAAGTTATGTGAAGTATAACTGGTTTTTACACTTAACTGTCACCACAATGATCCAGCTTACCTTTATCTCCAGTGTTATATCGAGATATGGATCAAAAGTATCTGAAACGCCTTTGCAATTTAAACATTTGACTGAAATAAAAACAAAATGTAAAGATAAGCAAAGTGTAATCGTTATGACAATCCCAACTATTAAAATGATAGAGTACAAATATACTACTTCAAAATAAAAAAATTAAAACAAGGTACAGTTTTTTCTCATATCAGATTAGGCAAAAACTTTTAATGCTACACAATGTGAATCAAAGTGTCACGGATCTGGCCCACGTACACTGTTGGTTGGAATGTAAGCTGGTATAACCTCTTGGAAGGACAGTATGGCAATGTCAGATTATATACACACACCCTTTGATACAGAAATTCTAATGCTAAGAATTTATCCTACATATACACTTTTACATGGACATAAGGGGATGTGCACAAGGATGGTCAAGGAAGCACTGATGCTAATTTAAAAAATTAGAAATGACCTAAGTAGCCCTTGATAGGGACTTAAGACTGTGTTACACCTATGTGTGCTGGAATTTAAAAAGACTTCTAATGTTAGGAGAAAAATGAAAGAAATACATCTAATATGCTCCCAGTCTGTTTATGCACAGGAAGCTGCTGGAAGGACACTAGAAACTGTCAAGGGTTGTCTTTGAGAAAGGGGCTCAGAAATCTGAGCTGGATGGAGGACACACTTTCCATTCTTAACCCTTCCTACAGTTTGCATTTTCTAAAACCATATGCATGTATCACTTTATCAACTTTTATTTTATTATTTTTTTGAGAGAGAGAGAGGGACGAAGACATAGAAACATTCACGTGAGAAACATCAATTGGCTGCCTACTGGGGATCGAGCCCAAAACCAGGCATGTGCCTTGATGGGCTGGTAATTGAACCAGGAACTCTCAGTCCAAGGGACAATGCTCAATTCACTAAGCCACACCAGCTGGGCACTTTATCCTCACCCAAGAACATTTTTTCGATATTTTATTCAGATAGAGTGGGAGGGAGAGAGAGAAACATCGACGTGAAAGGGACACATCAAGTGGTTGCCACCCTCACAACCAACCAGGGCCGGGGACAAACTGCAACCGAGGTACGTGCCCTTAGCGGGAAATGAACCCGGGTCTCTCTGGACCTCAGGCCAACGCTCTAACCACTGAGCCAAACTGGCCAGGGCATTTTTTTTTAAAGTTATTTTTTTTAATCCTCACCTGAGGATATATTTTTTTAATTGATTTCTGAGAGGGAGGAAGGAAAAGGAAGAGTAACATCAATGTGAGAGAAACATCGATTGGTTGCTTCCTGCATTCACCCCAACCAGGGGTTGAACCCACAACCTGGGTATGTGCTCTGACCAGGAATAGAACCCTTGACCCACAGGACACATGAGACGATGCTCCAACCAATCACACTGGCCAGGGCCACTTTATCAAACTTTTAAATAAAAGTTTACCTCTAGATCTTAGGTATCCTCCAAATATCTGACAGACGAGCGTAGTAGCCTGGGTGTGTCTGTCTAATCTGAAAAACAGTGAACGCTGATATGAGAGAAGAGTTCTACAGCAATTGCACACGCTATGGCCAGATCAAAAAAACATGTACATCTACAGAGGAACAAGAATTTAGGTGGGAGAGCCACAAAACCAGATGTGGCAGCCAGAGGACAGCCGTGCCTGACCAGGGTACAGTGAAGGTGGGAGAGGCAAGAAAGAAGTAGGCTAGGATGGAGGAAGGGATTTAAATCAAGGCAGACATCTGGCCCTGAAGCAAGAGGAGGAGGAGGAGGACACCTCAGTACCACTGTGACACTGAGTGTGAGGCCTGGCTGGTGAGGGCAGGACACGGAGCGCTTCCCTGTTCCATGCTGCATCCTCGTTCAGACACTGGGAGCCTGGCCGAGGCAGTGCAGATGGCAGTGGAAATGGAATGGAGATTTCCCACGTGTTTGGCAACAGCAAGTGGGCTAGGACTTGTCTAATTGTTTCTCCAGTCTCCCTCTTGAGTCTGCTTAGACTTTAAAGAAGAAATTCAGGAATTGGTAATAGAGCAGAGTGAGAAAGACATAGGAACAAATGTAGGTTTCAGAGACTGGAGGCCTACAGAGATAATGTAGGGCATAACCAGAAAGAAGTGGTTAGTTTGAATCTGCCAAAGGATGCTGATGCACAGAAATTAAATAATGGCAAGACCAATATTCATTTCCTGACATCTATAATTAAACAAATCCAAATTGTAAAGTAGCATAGCTTTTACATTTTAATCACTTTGAGATAGTGCACATTACTTGAGGACAACGCAGTGCAGAGTGTCAAAGAGCGAAGCCTACACAGCTCTGCACCTTCATCGTAAAAGGCAAACTGAATCCAGCAAGCCGGCAACACACGGGGAGACCACAGCGGTGCTGCTGTACTTACTTATTGCTGCCATTCAAGCATGCTTTTTGCATAGCATCAACAGTGTACTGAAGGAATTCGTGGGCATCTTCTTGGTTTCCAAAACGAAAGTGCCTAGCTATACCTATAAAGTTTAAGACAAAGCTTTATCGTCACATAATAGGCCCAGGCTATAACCCCCAGGAGTTATATCTTGTAACAATATGGTAGTCAGAAAATACCTGATAATCATCGTATGAGGGAATAGCACTAACAAGCTACCCCAAGAAGAGCTTAGATCTTGCCCTTTAGACCACTGAAAATCCACATGGACTAGTTTCTGAGAGTCCAGAGAGTAGGTACAGAGATGTTATCTGTGGCTTTAGCAAGTTAATAAAATTGTACTTGAGTAAATTCAACTTTGGCTGTATTGCCTTAAAAATGTGTCCACAGTGTTATGTTAGTGCACACATCTTAAATTTGGCACTGATCTAAGAGAACCCTTGCAGAACATCAATGTACAAACCCATCTAAATTCTATCCTGATAACTTGCATATTATATTCTCAGTAACATTTCAGTCCATTTCTAATTGAACAGCTGCAAGACAAAATTACATAGTAAAAAAAATCTAAAAAGTATAAATAACAGTAAAACATCCTACATAGAATTTTATGATGTATGTACATATAAACACACAGCAATGACATTTTCTTTAAGACTAGGTTTAAAAATAGTAATCATGTTTATATATATACACACACACACACATATACATAAGAATACATGTGTATATATATGCATATATAATTTTTTTTTAAAGAAAATCACCCTTGGCTAAAATTTTGCCAGGATCCAAAATGTTTAAAAAATGTTTACATTGTCTACTGTGGCCTGTTAATAATGCCAAAGCCAATATAACATCTCTTTAATCTTCAGCAGCTTTTAGGCAAAAGGATTATAATTTGTAAATGTATAATTATCCACCCCTATAATTACCTAGCTAGATATCAGATTAAGAGTTAGGGGTTTGTTTTTTTTAATTTGCATGCATTTTTTATTCCCACTCAGTTCATTAAGATGATGTAAAAGCTTATTGCAAAATCATACACAAAGTGCATAAGAAAATTTCATGCAACCTGTCAGTATCATTATAATGCAAAAGAAAAATTTTAAAGTCATTTAAAAATTAAATTGAAAACATAAAATTTGTCCACAAATTTGCTGAACTATGGTATAAATTTTTCTTTAAAAGTATAATTAACTTGCCCTGGCCGGTTTGGCTCAGCGGTTAGAGTGTTGGCCTCCGGACCAGAGAGTTCTGGTTTCGGTTCCCGCTAGGGGCACAAACTTCGGTTGTAGTTTGCCCCCCGTCCTCGTTGGGATTGTGTGGGTGGCAACCATTCGATGTGTCTCTCTCTTCCTCCCTCTCTCCCTCTAGCTCTGAGGATAGATGCAAAAATGTCCTCGAGTGAGGATAAAACAAAGAAAGTATAATTAACTTTATTTTGGCAATTGCTGTCAATTATTCATTATCTGAATTAAAACTGATTCAAAACAATTTAAAGAAACCTGTAGGACAATATTAGAGTTAGTATTACTCAGCATAAAAATCCAAGTATCTAGGGGAAAAAAACATTGTAAAATTACCAATGATTTTTATTAATAAACTGAGTTTAGTAAATTTTTTAATTTGCTTGTATTAAACTGAATAGTATCTTCTTTTTATATTGTCCTTTGCTTTAAGGTTTCAAAATCTGTTTATGTAGTAAATGTTTTACTAAAAGTATCTCCATGTATGATAAAATATATGTTTCTGTAATATACAAGGGGCTCATCTTTTACCAGTTAGGCCGTTAAGACCAATTAGCTAGTAAATACTAATATAAACAACTATAGATGATACTTACGCCGCATCTCATTAATGACAAACATCGGTTTAATAACGTCCCCAGGATTACTGAGTGCCTGGGTAATGTGTGCTTGCATTGTACACATCATACAAAATCCTTCTGCATGACCTGAAAGATAACAGATCATAATCCTCCAAATTAGTACAATATGACTCTATATACACATCAAGGGGTATTATAAACAAGGGGCACACTCGTGAAATGAAACAGTAGTAACAACTACCATGTGTCATGCATTGAACGATATACTTTTGTTCATTTTCATTTAATTCTCCCAAAACCTAACCGATAAGTATATACTGGTTCTGTTTTACAAAAGAGGAAACTGAAACTCAGAGTTAAAAATCTGCCAATGTCATATCCTGGCTGGGTGGCTCAGTTGGTTGGAGTGTCATCCCGTACACTAAAAGGTTGGAGGTTCGACACCCGGTCAGGGCATATAAGGGAGGTGACCGATTGATGGTTCTCTCACCCATCGATGTTTCTCTCTCTCTAAAAATCAATAAAAACATATCCTTAGGTGAGGATAAAAAAAAAAAAATCAGCCCAGCTGGTGTGGCTCAGTGGTTGAGTGTTGACCCATGCACCAACAGGTCACCGGTTCGATTCCCGGTCAGGGCACATACCCAAGCTGTGGGCCTGATCCCCAGTGGGGGGCATGCATCAGGCGGCCAGTTGATGTTCTTTCTCATTGATGTTTCTATCTCTCTCTCCCTCTTTCTTCCTCTCTCTCTAAAATCAATGAAGAAAAAAAAAAATTTTTTTTAAATTGCCCCACGTCAAAAAGTGAAGAGACAGACATAATAAGTCATACTCTAATTTCGAAGCCTGCAGTCTTAACTACTCTCTATACTGGAAAAATAAGTATATTTTTTCTCACACTACCATTTATCTCTAACAGTAAAAGAATGTCTCCTGCCCTGGCTGGTTTGGCTCAGGTTGGAGCATTGGCCCGAGGTCCAGAGAGACCCGGGTTCGGTTCCCGCTAAGGGCAAGTACCTCGGTTGCACTTTATCCCCGGCCCTGGTTGGGTCGTGCATGCAGGAGGCAGCCACTTGATGTGTCCCTTTCGCACTGATGTTTCTCTCTCTTTCTCTTCCTCCTACTCTATCTGAACAAAAAATGGAAAAATGTCCTCAGGTAAGGATAAAAAAAAATAAGAAAGAAGAAGTGCCCTGGCCGATTTGGCTCAGCAGTTAGAGCATCGGCCTGCAGTCTAGAGAGACCCGGGTTCGGTACCCACTAGGGGCGCATACCTCGGTTGCAGTTTGTCCCCGGCCCTGGTTGGTTGTGCGGGTGGCGGCCACTCGATGTGTCCCTTTCGCGTCGATGTTTCTCTCTCTCTTCCTCTCTCTCCCTCCCACTCTATCTGAACAAGAAATGGAAAAATGTCCTCAGGTGAGGATAAGAAAAATAAGGAAAAAAAAAAAAGGATGTCTCCTATACCGGGGACTGGAAATTTCTCTGTAAATATCTAGCTTTGTTGGCCACATAGAGTGGTCTCTGTTGCTGCTGCTTTTTTGTTTTGTTTTCACAACTGTTTAAGCATGAAAACCATTCTTAGCTCATGACTATGTGGTGATACTGGCATCTAGGGGTAGAGGCCACAAATGCTGCTCAACATCCAGCAAGCACAGGACAGTCCCACAACAAAGAAGTACCTGCTCCCAAATGCCAACAGTGCTGAGGCTGAGAAACACTTTCCTAAACTAAAGGCTGTTCAGAACCTGCCTAACAAAACTTTAAAATTCTCAAAAGGACCCAAACTATTTCCAATTAACATAACTGTGTCCCAGAACTAAGCTAAAAATGTTTACAGGAATAATATAATTTTAATAATCTAGCACCCAACAACGTAAAATTCTAAGCTAAGAGTACAAGGCATGTAAAGAAGCAGGAATCACTGACAAAGAAATAAAGTTAGAAATAAAAACGTTATGTATATAGGAACAAAAGTAAGACTTCTCGCCCTGGCCGGTTTGGCTCAGCAGTTGGAGCATCGACCTACGGTACAGAGAGACCCGGGTTCGGTTCCCACTAAGGGCATGTACCTTGGTTGCAGTTTGTCCCCGGCCCTGGTTGGTCGTGCGGGTGGCAGCCACTCGATGTGTCCCTTCACGTCTATGTTTCTCTCTCTCTCTCTTCCTCTCTCTCCTTCCCGCTCTATCTGAACAAAAAATGGAAAAATGTCCTCGGGTGAGGATAAAAAAAAAAAAAAAAAAAGACTTCTCAAAAACAACACAAGCCAGAAGACAGTAGAGTAACATCTTTGAAGTATTTTTTTTTTTTTATCCTTACCCGAGGACATTTTTCCTTTTTTTCTTTTCTTTATTGATTTTTAGAGAGAGAGGAACAGAGAGAGAGAGAGAGAGAGAGATAAAAACATCGGTGAGAGAGAACATCAATTGGCCACCTCCTGCATGCTCCTCACTGGGGAACGGGCCCACAACCTGGGCCCTGACCGGAAATCGAACCGGCAACCTCTTGGTGCATGGGTCGATGCTCAACCCCTGAGCCACACCAGCCGGGCTATTTTTCTATTTTTTTGTTCAGACAGAGTGGGAGAGGGAGAGAGAGAGAGAGAGAGAGAGAGAGAGAGAAACATCAACGTGAAAGGGACACATCGAGTGGCTGACAACCGCATGACCCAACCAGGGTCAGGGACAAACTGCAACTGAGGTACATGCCCTTAGCGGGAACCGTACCCAGGTCTCTCGGGACTGCAGGCCTATGCTCTAACCTCTGAGCCAAACCAGCCAGGGCACATCTTTGAAGTATTAAAAGAAAAATGTCGACACACAATTCTATACACCATGAAAATATCTTTCAAAAACAAAGACAAGCCCTTACACTTCTGGGCAGGTGGAGCAGAGGTACTTTTCCCTATTCCTCCCACTAAGTACAACAAAATAACCTAGACATTGTATATAAAACAAACATAAGAGGCTGCGAAAGGCAGAGAGAGAAACAGACAAGCTAGCAACCTGAGGACCCAAGAAATGAAATGGTGGGTTCCCCAGGTTTACCTTGTACCTCTTATATTCCAGACTTGATGCTGAGGAGGCCAGAAACCCGGGAATACCAAACAAATAGAAGGAACAAAGTCCCAAAGAAAGTTGGCTCTCTCTAGCCACAGGAGACCAGGAAAGGGGCAGCCCAGAAAAACAGAAAACTTTTAGACAGTAATCACTCTACTCTAGACAAATACCATAGAAAACCGGTGGCCCCCACCCAGATCCACGTCAGTAACGAGTAAGTGAAGATCCCAGACTTCCACTTGCCAGGCTGTAAGGAAGCACCCCAACTCACCCACCGGGGTACTGTTAGAGAAGGTGGAGTAGAAGCTCGAACTTCCATCCACGCTGGGTGATAACAGCACTCCCACCCCACGGTGTCAGTAAAGATCAAATAAGCCTGGACTTCCACCCTCACCCAGTAGTAAAGAGACAGCCCTCCAAGGCCCACTGGGGTAGTGTCAGAATCAGGGTTTTCCTCTCACCTAGTGATAAAAGCCACTGCACTGCCAGTGGAGACCATGTGGAAGCAGGGATTCCCATTCTCAACCATCTCTCATTCTCAGTGGAGGTTGAGCAGGGAACCTCTAATACTAATTACTTCCTCTGCCAGATGAGTATCAAAGAAAGCCAGCTAAAACAGACATTCAAGAAGATCCAGTGCCTTATAATACACGTGTGTGTATTCACCAGGTTTCAACCGAAAATCATTCATTACACCAAGAACCAAAAACTTCTCAACTGAATAAAAGGAGACAACGAACAGATGCCAACACTGAGAAAACAAAGATATTAGAATCATCTAACAAAGGTTTTATTTTATTTTATTTATTGATTTTAGAGACAGAGGAAGGGAGAGGGAGAGAGAGAGAGAGAAACATTGATAAGAGAGAACATCAAATGGCTGCCTCCTGCATGCCCCCCACTCAGGATTGGGCCCACAACCCGGGCGTGTGCTCTGACCAAGAATCAAACTGGTGACCTCATGGTGCCTGGATCAATGCTCAACCACTGAGCCACACCGCCGAGCTCTAACAAAGGTTTTAAAGCAGCCATCATAAAAATGCCTCAACAGATAATTACGAACATACTAGAAACAAATGAAAAATACAGAAAGACTCAACAAAGAAACAGAAGCTATAAAGAACCAAATAAAAATTTTATTAATAAAAAAATACAATAGCCCTGGTTGGTTTGGCTTAGAGGTCAGAGCGTCAGCCTACAGTCCAGAGAGACCTGGGTTTGGTTCCTGCTAAAGGCATGTGCCTCAGTTGCAGTTTGTCTCTGGCCCTGCTTGGGTCGTGCAGGTGGCAGCCACTCGATGTGTCCCTTTCATGTCGATGTTTCTCTCTCTCTCCCCCTCTCTTTCCCTCCCACTCTATCTGAACAAATGAGAAAGTGTCCTTGGGTGAGGATAAAAAAAAAAAGAAAAGAATAAAATAAGAAGCCAATAGATGAGCTAAACAGAACAATGGAGATGACAAAGGAAAGAATCAGTAAACATGAAGCTAGAACAACAGAAATCTGTTAACCTGGCCCTCCAGGTCAGGGTCACACGGGAGGCAACCAGTTGATGTGTCTCTCACATTGATGTTTCTTTTTTCTCTCTCTCTCCCTCCCTCCCTCCCCTCCTCTCTATCTAAAAATCAATGAAAAAAATATCCTCGGGTAAAGATTAACAAAGAAAAAAAGAAATTACCTAATCTGAACAACAGAGAGAAAATAGAATGGGGAAAAAAATGAACAGAGCCTCAGGGACCTGAAAGACTAACCAAAAAAACAAAAACAAACAAGTTAACATACATGTTATCAGAGCCCCAAAAGGAGAGGCGAAAGAGGGCTGCGCTGAAGAAGAATCGTAAGAAATGTGATACAGTAGTAAAGAGGCATCCCAGATTAGGAGAGCAGATTTAAAAACATGACTCAGGCCCTGGTCAGTTTGGCTCAAGCGGTTAGAGCATTGGCCCTAGGACCAATGAGTCGCAAGTTTGATTCTGGTCAAGGGCATATACCTCGGTTGCGGCTCACCCCCGACTCTGGTCAGTTATGTGGAAGGCAACCAGTAGGTGTGTCTCTCTCACATTGATGTTTCCC